ACCCACCCGTGCACACAGACACGCACACACGCACGCACACACACACACGCACGTGCACACACACACGCACACACCCACACGCCCACACATATACACGCGCACACACACACACACGCGCACACAGATAGACGCACACACATATGCACGTACACACACACACACACACACACACACACAAATACTGTACATGCACTGACATGTACTGACATAACGATGTATGCACCGATAAGGGAACAGTTTAGTTGAATCTAGCCCTCAGTGCCCAAGCTTTGCCCCATTAATCCAATGTTCCAATGATGATCCAATCTGCAAGGAAGGACATTGTTTAGGAATCAGCTAATCCAGTCATCAGCACTATTACGACTGCTAATGATATTCAATCTATCCCTGGGTAACCTGCTTTCGGTCAGTATTAGGATGGATGATCTCTACCTTCGTTATCGTATCAGGCTCAAGAAAGGATTACCCAGTGTCTAGGGTGGATCTACACACAGAGCAGTTTTTCCACATCGGTATCATATGTTCTAGGGTACTGTTATGTTGGAGTTCACCTGTAGATATTATATAGATATATAGATATATAAATAGACAAGTAGTGGCAGATGTATCACCGTAAGTGAGGAATATTCTACTAAAACTAGTGATTAATTAATTACTATTATGGAAGTGCCGCCTCCTAAATCTGTACTTCCTGTTGTGAGGGATTGTACAGTTTCTACAAACAAATATATCTTATGTGCAAATGAAAACATCATTACATAATGAATCACAATTATTGGTTCCTGTAGTACTAGCTAAAGGCCAGTCTGTGCCCAGTATTCATATCAGACAGGCTTTTACTGACCAATGCCACAGGTGTACAAGAGATTTGCCCCTTTTAATTTGATAAAAAGATAGGAAGCTGAAGAGAAGATGTAGTCTATGAATCTTTTCTGCTGTAACAGTATGTTATGAAGTAGAAAAATAAAGAATAAATGTATCATAAGTAAATTATATAATGTATTTAAATGTGTGTAATGTGTCAGGAATTTTTAGTGGTATTATTATCAGTATTACTGATGATTGATCATTATTACTATTGGTGTTATTGTAGTATTGTATAGTTAATGAGGCTTTACATATGACGCCATCTCAAACAGCTTGATGATTTGAGGGACACAATCAATTAGGATAATTGGCATTTAGAATAGGTAAGAAAACAGTATAAGCTTACAGGAGGTTACAACAGTACACTTTTCTTTCATCATAAACATTCTTATTTAATCCATGTTTATGTGATAAACACTATTCTACACTATTCTTCTCACTATGTGAGAAGAATACCAGAATGCCAGGAGAAATGCAAATAGCGCCTGCAGCCATGAAAGTGAGTGATTAGTCACAATAAGTAAAGGAGTTTATGCAGTAGTTTTACTGCACTTGGCAGAAAAAAATCCATTAATCTATACTGTGAGACAGATGCACAGTGTAAATCTGTGGAACAGAATCAGCTGATTGTAAATGTTTGTGAAATGTGTGCACAAGACTCTTGGATAGGATGTTAGGACTTCCCTATAATAATAATTCAATTGTTTAAACTTCTGATTTTTTGTTTATTTTGTGTACCTATAAATCTGAGACAAATCCCTTAAAACGTTTGACTGTATAGAAACAAAATATAGGCTCTCGAATCCAAACAATATGATGACGTAATATCACATTTTAGCCCATAAGGAAATGGTCTGTGACAAAAGGATGACACACTGATCTGCTATGATGCCTTTGGTGGGTGAAAACCCACGAAGACCTTGTGAAATACCTCCACCTCCTGCTGCCATAATCCTTGCTCCATGTCACTTGTGTGGCTTTATATCATGATCTCTTGAGCCTCAAAGTTCAGTTCTCTAGCCGTTTCCTAAGGCTCTTACCCTGTGTAAACAATTAGTGGCAGCTTAGAACAATATGGAAGGTCAATGTGTTTGTCTGAGCTCCACTGACCCGTTCAACCTGCTGCTGCGCTCGTGAACCCACACATTATGCAGACTGATTATGTGATGATGAAAAGGCATGACTGTAGGCCTTTATGAGAAAAGATGGGGAAAGCATGTCCTCCATTATAATCCTAGTAGCTTAAGACTGATGAGCTCTTTAGTGTAAATTAAACATATGATTTTAGATTTCTTGCTTTCTTGGCCCAAATTTAAATCAGTAAAACTCATTGTGAGTCATGCGGAAATGGCAGAAAATGAAAAGTGACATCACATCCAGTCAGTGACAATGTGACAGTAACTACTTCAGTTCCATTTCTTGGAAGTTTTCATTCATTTACTGAATCATTAATGATGTGGCTAATGAGTCCCCAATCTGTTTAAACACATGTTGTACAACATCAGAATAAATATTTGTTTGAATTCTTAAATTAAAAAAACTTTATATCACATAACTAAATTTATTAGTCAACAAGGACGAATATCTGAATGTTGTGGCACAACGTAATTTTTAACGTGTAACATCCAGTGACCCAGTGATGACTATTTTATTACTGACTTGGTCATTGGATCTACAGTTTGGGTCCAATCCACCAACTGAAACCCTGAAACTGAATGAAACCCTAAAATGATTTTTTAATAATGGCAATTTTATAGCAAACACACAAATTTTACTTAATTGATAAAATTGTTAATGACTGACCAGTGATACTAAAGATTGTTTTTTTCATCCTTTTTGTCTTTTCCAGGCCTGAAGCCACGTCATGCTGCTGGTGAAATGAGAGACCAAAGCGGCAGCTCACTGCAGGAAGAAGGAAAAGGAGACATTTTAACAGATTTTGATAAAACGGAGGACATTACATACCACTATATGTCACAAAGCTTTGTGCCAACTTGTAGGAAAATTGATCTTGGCTTAACATCTTTGATTTTTGAATTCATTTTCAATATTTCATCAATATACACATGGTATAGCCTCTGAATTTTTTTTATTAGGCTACTGGCTATATAATGGATGGATCAAATATTGATCAGTAGGTTTTTAAATGATTGTCTGTCTGATGGTGTTCTTGAGCCATGAGGGAGCAGCCTTATGTTGCGGTACCTATTACAGTATGTCATTCAGTTTAGCACATTGTAGGTTAACAAATAGTGGTGTATAAACTAAGAAGACAAACATGATGTTAAGTTGTAGATGTACATAAAAACAATTCAACACAAAATAGTTTAGAAAATGTTCTAATATAAAACAATGTGCAAAAAGAAAAATGTGTGAGTATATACTTTAATGTGTATGTGAGGAGTGGCTGCACTCTTACATACCGTACATGGTACAATTGATGAAATCTAAATGGTGTGTGGTCTTAAGTTTTACTGGGATCTTTTCATCATTCGGTCAGCATATAATCCAGTCATGTCATGTATGTGAGTGTGCAGGGCCTTTAAGTTCTAATTTCGGTCCATTACTCCATGACTTGCATATGAATGCATACATTTAAGTAAATCCAAAGTGATACATGATATAAAATGATACAACCAAAACCTATTCTTTCCCTGTTTTATTTTGACATAACTTGTTCACTGTAAGCTGCAGACCATGTTCAAAACAAAAACAACACAAGTCTGCCCTCTAAAGGACTAATGATGTATTGCAACAAAGGACAACTTTGTTTTCCAACAAAAGTAAACAGTTGCATGAGCCAGATTAAGCTGTATACTGTACACATGTTCATTTTATTTGCTATAATAATGTGGCTCATATCTGTCATTGAACCAACAAATAATCACATAGGATTTTGTGGTATAATTTTTTATTTATTTTTGTGCTCCTTTAGAAGAAGGTCAGAGTTCAGTTACTCTGGATAACACAGTCAAATGTCAGCACTTAATACAATTAGCGGATGATCAAACAGACATCTATCCCAGGTCAAACATATGTATGGCAATGAAATTAAATCTATGATCTGCATTAGTTAAATTACATGACAGGATACATCTTACACCTCTAATCCAGTAGGAATTAAGTAAGAGCAGTATGGTGGTATTATGAGGTGCTATAATACAATATATCACCATTAGGAGCTGTGACTTGTGTTTGTTTCTGTAGTAATATTATTGACAAATATGTTTTGTGTCAGTATCAAGTGCTTACAGGATCACCGAAAAAACAGTTAAATATAGTGGGGGTGCTCCTCCTGCTACTGTATAAAATCTAAACTGACATCATTTATATTGTAATAATGGTCCTAATTTTCCTGTAGTTCAGTTATATTGTGTCTTCAGCATCCTATCAGTATTCAGAAAGCCAGTTTTAAAATAAATGGAGTATATCTTTCAGTTTGGGTAAAAAGGGATGCACCTGCACAACCCTGAGAGTTGACAAAACAAACAAGGGATCTATAGTCACAAACCAAATTAGATATACTGAAGAAGTTCAAAAATGCTCCAAAACATAAACACTTCAGAGCATTTTCTTTTATTTTCAGGCTGAACATACACTCTTTTTTTTGGGGGGGGGCAGAAAGGGACTATTTTGTTATTGATGTTGGCGGTGTTATCCAGTAATGCAGTATTGGCATCAGTGGAGGGCGCACTAATAGTGGGTGTGGGCGTGGTAACTTCAATATGTGTGAGCGCTAAATCTGCAAATTAGTGCTTATACACTATTATTGTGCATGAGGGGGCATATTCAAGTGGGTCTAGAGCGAAATGAAATCAGTATCGCCTACAATATTAAAATAAAAGGGGTTCCAGCACGGATGTCGCCATCTTTAGTAAGGGACAATAAGCCCAATACTATAACACAACTTGTTGTAATTTGTTGAAACTCGCGATATCTTCACTTTATATAGATTTCAAGTGTTCATAGAAGCACTTCACTATACAGAGCATCCTACGCCGATTCACGATGGTAAACAACAAAAACTATGAATGCGCTTTTGCGTGAAATGGTTAGTGAGCGGGTCTCTGTCGCCATGTTTACTTTGGGTGACGCCAACTCTCTGCCATTTTCCTCCGCCTCTGGTTGTCAAGAAGATGGCAGCTTCCAGGCAGGCATGAGAGGAAATACTTCTTCACAAATCGAATGAATTTGGATTATTACCGCAAGAGAAGACCACATACCCGCGTTTTTGCAACTACTGCGTCGAAATAAGTAAGTAAAAAAATAAAATATGTGCGCTCTTTTCGGTTTGTTATGTTTTGTTGTGGCAAACCGCCCGGCCATTTTTCTTGTGGGAGCTGTAGAAGTAGGCCGATTGTCGAAAAGATGGCTGCTTCCAGAGACGGCATGAAACATAATAACACTCTGTTTTTGCGGTTTAACTCAGTTTAGCTACGTCCTAAGAGTGCTGTTGCAACTACATTTGTATCAGGTAAATTATGCATGTCAAGGGAACATAAAATTACATTGCATTTAATTGTAAATTTTGGCGACGCTTTGACAGTTGCTAGCCGCGCAGCTAACGCTGTTAGCTTGGGTAAATTAGGTTGAGCAACTAGCCGCTACTGCTAACGGTGTACAGCTAGCACTGGAATCCGTTTGAGTACTACGATTGCACTTAATTCTTTTATATATTTAAGCAAATTATTCGATGGGAGTTCAGATGTGTTGTTTTCTTAATACCCACAACAGCTAGAGTGAGGTTGAACTATTTTCTATTGTTAATAACTGCGTTTAATGGGATGCAGAAAATGCTAAGTTTGCTAGCTACAATATGGCGACTCCCACAGAAGCATGAAAATAGCCGACTCTTGCTAACGGATTTAACTGTGGATTAAGTCTGTCTTGCAAATGTGCATTGCTCTGCTTCGTTGGCCCACTACGTGTTTGTTGAATTTGCCTTTAATGTAGTGTATTTCTTTGCCGGTGTGGTTGGCTGGCTATCATGTATTTTTCTTTTTCATTTGCTTCCGCCATTTTTCAGACTGGCAGCAGCGTTAGCGGGGGTTTGTTTGGCTGCAAGATGGCTGCTTCCATGGATTGAATTCAATGGTCAGAAACAACTAAGATAAAACTTAGGTTTAGGTGAATATTTCATGTGTTTCTTAGCACAACTGCAACGTCAAAGCAATATCAAGGATAATAACTCAGTAGTTTCTCGAAAACTCTTACATCGATTATGTTTTTTTTAGGTTGAATGTATTCGTTAACCAAAGCTAACTGCTAACTGTTAAGCTTTTCAGCCGCTGTGGCCGCACGAACTGTTTGAGAAGTTGGCTGCATTGTACAGCCAGATGCTACTGTTCAGTTTCTACGATCATTACCGTGGAAACATCACTTTTTCACTTAAGCAGTCAAGATAAATGCTCCTCTATTGTTTTCTCTGACAGAAGTCATGTCTGCCCCTGGCTCCGCGGTGTCTGGGACCACGGCGTCGGTTCTGCAGCCGCGGTGGAAACGGGTCCTAGGATGGTCCGGTCCTGTTCCCCGGCCCAGGCATGGACACAGAGCTGTGGCTATAAAGGAGCTCATGGTTGTCTTTGGCGGTGGAAACGAAGGAATTGTTGATGAATTACATGTATACAACACCGGTAAGATTAACTTTGCTCGTACAACTTATGCGATTGTTTTCTACAGAAAGCATAATGTTTTATTTCACAAATCCGCTAATGTGAAGTAACACAAAATGCCTTTTTAATCTAGTTTTCCCCTAGTAACTCTTAAAATGTATTTCTAAAGATCGATTCGTGTAGTGCAGAACTAAGTAGCATATAGGCCTCAGTAGGCCAAGCGTATCCATATCTGATTAAATTTGGCCCCCTCTGCTGGATAATGGTATTTAATGCACGTAAAAAAGGCGGGCTAAAATAAAATGGATGATGCTGGTTGGTTTAAGCATATCCTCTGCCCCAATTTCCTGCACATAAACCAATAAGAACAGACAAATTTAGCAGATCTGGTTAATGTCTCACTATCCTTACATTCAGATGTTGGTTTATGTTCAAATGTTGATACGAACATTGTTTACAGGTTATACTGGTCAGGAATTAACTGCCTTGTTTAGATTTTAACATATACTTCCCTCATGATTTCAAGCACTTGATATAGGTAAACTTCTACTGATAACTTCACTGTCTTTATTGTTTTCATATCTAGCAACAAACCAGTGGTTTATCCCAGCTGTTCGAGGCGATATCCCCCCTGGTTGTGCTGCGTATGGTTTTGTCTGTGATGGCACGCGATTGCTGGTGTTTGGAGGAATGGTGGAGTATGGAAAGTACAGCAACGATCTCTATGAACTACAGGTAATCTGTCTGTAGAAGAAATAACCCCCATTTTTGTATTTGCACATTAAGATGATTAGATGCTTATAAATACATCTGGTATACTCAGCTAATTTAGTATATTACTCCTCATACCCATTTTTTTTCAGATATGTTGATTGTATACAAACTAACTTTTAGTTAGTTCAACATAAAATACAGATGGACATGTTTACAACAAATACAGTGTTTATATGCAGGTTCAGAGCCAACTGGACGTTATCTGTTCATGTTTGCATGCATACATTTCAGCTTGTCTGTCTGTGTCATAGATCACTGATATAGGGAAAGGAAATGGAAAAAGTACACGGCAAAGTTATAGTTTCAACTTGTAAGTGAATGTGCTCAGTGTGGTTCAGCTATAGATGGTAAGTCTATGGACACAGCTGGATGAAACCATGTATCTTGATTTGTCCAGCGCAGAGAGGAGGGTGTGTTGCATAGTTGTAGGGGTGGCATTGAGCGTGTTCATTCTGACTATGCACTAAAGAGAATTAAATTAAATGGCTGATACAGTCAGAAGGCTTTAGTCATCACTTACTACAGCCCATTAATTGTTTAACTGGTAGTGGATAGAAAAGTCATTGATTTTTAGATGCATATGATTCTTAGTTGAGGGGTTTGCAAAACTTATTTTTTTATCAGAATTTAAAGGGGTTCCTAAAGTAGAAAAACTAACTGACTAAACAGAAAATACTCAGCAGCTATGTGCACATTTTGAAGAGAAAGGGAGAGTCTTAACAAGGTAATGACATTATTGACTGGACATGACGTTAATCAGTACAAGTTATTTTGTTCCTTAATTATGTTTCACCATGTTTAATTAACCAATCCTGACAAGTGCAATAGACACTCTAACAAAACATCCATGTATTTATCTTCTTGCAACAGCTGTGCACCATGAAGTTACAAATATACTCTGTTTCTGAAAATGATATGAAGAATGTATGCCCCGATCATATTTTGACACCTGGAGTCCAGATGGATTTTCAGTCAGTGGGAAATGTAATAGACAAAAAGAAGAATGAGGGGGAGAATGGGGTTAGTGGGGAAAAAAGTGTGTCTAGTTTTAGCTACACTCTTGACATAAAGTCATATTCTTGGAAAGGATTGGTAGTAGAGAGAATGAGGTCAACTTGTGACTTGTTTCTTAGAGATTCTGCTATGACATAATCAACTGATGAAATGTTGTTTTGACCATTGTTTCTACTACAGGCCAGCAGATGGGAGTGGAAAAAATTGAAAGCAAAAAACCCCAAAAATGGGCCCCCTCCTTGTCCTCGTCTTGGCCACAGTTTTTCCCTGGTGGGCAACAAATGCTACCTGTTTGGTGGATTAGCCAATGACAGCGAGGACCCAAAAAACAACATTCCCAGGTACAGATGTTTTTTCAGCAGGAGCCAGTAGGGCCTGTGACTGCTTGAGATTCTGCTTCAATCAGCATCATGAGTGAGACAAATATCTGTGTTTTTCATTCTCAGATACCTGAATGATCTGTACACACTCGAGCTTCGTGCTGGGTCCAGTGTGGTTGGATGGGATATTCCAATCACATATGGAGTTCTGCCTCCTCCCCGTGAGAGCCACACTGCCGTGGTGTACACAGAAAAGACGAGCAGGAAATCTCGCCTGATAATCTATGGAGGGATGAGCGGTTGTCGTCTGGGAGATCTATGGACACTTGATATTGGTAAGTCTTTAAAGTGTGAATGGAAAGATAAATAACAGCATTAAAGTTATAAATGCCCTGCTGGCAGCCATTTACATCCAGTCAGATCAAATGGGATTGAACATCGTCACACTTTCAAGAGCTTTAATGTTTGTCAATAATATGTGTGGATTTGCTTTAACTTGAACGCTATAGTTTACATGTCGGAATGAATGGGTGCTTGTCTTTGTCTCCAGATACCCTGACATGGAACAAACCATCAGTAAGCGGCACAGCACCACTTCCCAGAAGTCTTCACTCTGCCACCACCATCACAAACAAGTGAGACAACTGCTTCACCTTGCCAGTAACATATTGAATGTTGCTTCTAATGTGTTAAAACTCCCTGTGGAACAGGGCTGTTCATCACAGCAGCATCTCACTCTGATTTCATTTTCTCACTGTGCAGGATGTATGTTTTTGGAGGATGGGTTCCTCTGGTAATGGACGATGTGAAAGTGGCCACACACGAGAAGGAGTGGAAGTGCACAAACACTCTTGCCTGCCTAAATCTTGGTTTGTCTAACTCCATATTTATTATACTAGATTTCTCTTTATTAACATTTGAGAAAAAGGGCGTTCACTGTTGTTAATTTAATTCAATATCTTTGTCTTTAGATTCCATGTGTTGGGAGACAGTGTTGATGGATACTCTAGAAGACAATATCCCCAGGGCCCGTGCTGGCCACTGTGCTGTGGCTATCAATTCAAGACTTTATGTTTGGAGTGGCCGTGATGGTTATCGTAAAGCTTGGAACAACCAAGTCTGCTGTAAAGACCTCTGGTATCTGGAAACAGGTAGGTGTGCTGCAACATGACTGGTTTGTCATTAAGATTGACTTCAGTGTCTCAGGTTGTCAAACAATGTCAATGTTGTTAAGTTTCTTGCCCTCTTCCTCCTCAGAGCGACCACATGCCCCTGCCCGGGTGCAGTTAGTCCGTGCCAACACAAACTCTCTGGAGGTGAGCTGGGGTGCAGTCTCCACTGCTGACACTTACCTCCTGCAGCTACAGAAGTATGACATCCCTGCTACTCCAGCTGCAGCCTCACCAGCCATGAGCGCAACCCCCTCGCAGCCTGTGAACTCTCCAAAGAGCCCAGCACCGGCTGCAGCAGCACCCTCTGCCCAGAGCCTGCCACAGACAGGTATTACACTAGTTAATAATGATTCCTCTTGTTTCCAGTTCTTCCCTGTCCATTGTTGACACTGCACCAGGAAGCTTAACAACTGCAAATACTCTGTGCATGAATTCTAATCATTGGTTCCCTTATTTTACAGCTGTTTTGAAAGTTGCAGCTCAACAGTCTGCCACTGGCACATCTGTTGTCACAGTCCGCCCCAGCCAGCCTGGGAAATCCCCTGTCACTGTGACATCTCTTCCTCCAGGTGTCCGAATGGTAGTACCTGCCCAGACCACCCAAGGATCGGTATGAGAAATTTTGCACAGCATTTTATCATGTGTAGAACTTGGTGTGAGGTCTGTAATCAGACGAGCAAGTGTGTTGAAAAATTGTTTACTTTTTCTGTTTTCAGCCAATTGGCAGTAGCCCTCAGATGAGTGGCATGGCAGCTTTAGCTGCAGCAGCTGCAGCAACACAGAAGATCCCGCCGTCTTCTGCAGGCACTGTCCTCAATGTTCCTGCGGGTGCCACCATTCTCAAAACAGTAGCTGTTTCCCCTGGCACAACCACTGTGAAAGTGGCTTCTCCAGTCATGGTACAGAGCTCACTAAACCTTCTCATTTCTAACAATGTGCATTCTGAGGGTCACAGGTCAATTGTTAAATTGAAGTTGTGCTTGTAGGTCAGTAACCCAGCCACCCGGATGCTGAAGACTGCTGCAGCTCAGGTGGGCACAGCAACTGCATCCTCTCCCACCACCACCAGACCCATCATCACTGTACACAAGTCTGGTGCAGTCACAGTGGCCCAGCAGGCCCAGGTGGTCACCACTGTGGTGGGAGGAGTCACCAAAACCATAACCCTGGTCAAGAGTCCCCTCACCATGGGCAGCAGTGGCACTCTGGTAAGAAAACAGGACTCTTTAGCACAACAGAATACTGAAACACCACTCTGAGAGCACCCTTTGGTGCTTTCACACGCATGCTGTAAATCATGGGTTCTACAAATCGCTTTTTCACACTTAGTATGTGTGTGTGTTTTTCTTTTCTTTTTTTTCTTTTTTTTTGTCTTGTCACAAGACAGTGACAACATGCACTGAGTTTGAACCAGTGGGGGAGGGAGTAAAGGTTGGCCTACAGTGACTGTTGGAGAACTCAACTGAGAAAACAGGGAGCATGATGTTAGTGATCTGCATGACTGTTGATCAGTTAGAGCTGGAATGATTCTTAGAGCCTCCAGTTTAGTGGTCCACCATCCCTCTGCACTCCCTGTACTGTCCGATGTTTTCTGGTGACTCATGAACTTGAGTCTCTCTCCTATGTCGGCAGATCTCCAACCTTGGCAAGATGATGTCTGTGGTACAAACCAAGCCAGTGCAGACATCAGCTGTCACAGGCCAGGCTTCCACTAACCCTCTCACACAGATCATACAGGTCAGCTATCTGCATGAGTGCAGGAAAAAAACAGGAGGTAGCTTAAAACTCCTGAGACAGGCACCAGATGTCTTTCTCCAAATGGTTTGCGTAACGTGTGTCTCTCTCCCCAGACAAAGGGTCCCCTCCCAGCCGGCACCATCCTGAAACTGGTGACCTCTGCAGATGGAAAGCCCACAACCATCATCACCACTTCCCAGGCAGGAGGCACAGGAAACAAGCCCACTATCCTCAACATCAGCGGTGTCTCTCCTACCACCACTAAGCAGGGCACCACCATCATTAAGACCATCCCCATGTCGGCCATCATGACCCAGCCTGGAGCCACAGGTCTAAACTCACTCAGTATAGTGTTACAACTACAAACCTCATCTGCCTCAAAGTTACAATTGAGATCAGCACGATAAATTCAGTGATATTAATACAATTTTTGGAGTAGGAACAAAACCCAAACCAGATGAATATCTGGAAGACACAATTTTCTATGTTAGTTTGCCCGTTGATGTTCCAGGGAGTGGTGAAGGCATGACACAACAGAAGGAGTCGGTGTATTCTTGTATTTTATTGTTTTTAAAATTGTTTCCTGCAATGGAGATGATGATTAGCATGACTTGGAACATTTTGGCAGTTACTATGGATGAAAATGGACGCTAAGAATTATTTATTTACAAGCGCACATTAACCAAGGGTTGTGTGTCTTGAGTTGATATAATTGGGTTAATTTCAGACATTCATGTTTTTGTCCATGCAGGTGTGACAAGCAGTGCGGGCATGAAAACACCTATCACGATCCTTACAACAAAGGTGATGACGACTGGAACTCCTGGTAAAATCATCACTGCAGTACCCAAACTTGCTACTGCAGCTGGCCAGCAAGGATTGACACAGGTAAACTGACTCCATGTGTGTGCTGGGGTTTGTAGATGTCATCAGTTTGTTAGAGGACGTGTTTTGCCCATTTATGTCGGAATTGAGGAGACTAATCCTGAATTGTGTGTCTTTAGGTGGTTTTGAAGGGTGCCCCTGGACAACCAGGAACTATTCTGCGGACTGTGCCCATGAGCACAGTGGGTGGTGTTCGACTTGTTACGCCAGTGACGGTGTCTGCAGTCAAGCCCACTGTCACCACTTTAGTTGTCAAGGGGACTACTGGTAAGAGCGACCAAGTTCTGGTATTAAAGTGATTAATTATTATTAATTATTATTAATAGGTCATCATCACAGATTTCACACTTTGTCCATTGTACTATGGATTTTTTGGTTTTCCTTATTTAATTCCACTTATCTTCCTTCCAGGTGTCACCACTCTTGGAACAGTCACTGGTACAGTCTCTACCAGTCTGGCAGGAGGCACGGTGGACAGTTCCAACGCCTCTCTGGTTACTCCCATCACCACACTGGGAACCATCGCTACACTGTCCAGCCAGGTCATCAGCCCAGCTGCCATAACTGTGTCGGCTGCTCAGACCAGTCTGACCTCTTCCTCCACATTGCCCTCCTCTACCATCACAGTGCAGGTAAGCCTGCAGTCCCGCAGTCTGTGTTTAGCATTTTAATCATTTGGACGTTAAATGGTGGCAGCAGTAAGCCCCATACGCTTTTAATTACTACATTACAACCTAAGAAAAAAGACTGCAAAGTTGCATTGACTGCACAGAATTGACAATTATTCCTGTAACTACAGAACGATCACAGAGCTTCCGCCAGAATTAAATGCGCTATATGAGTCAAACTATGACTAAACTGAAATTGCTGTCCTCTCCTCAGAACCAGCCCACCCAGGTGACTCTGATCACAACTCCCAGTGGAGTAGAAGCTCAACCAGTGCAGGATCTACCAGTGTCCATCCTGGCTTCACCAACCTCTGAGCAGCCCAGTTCCACTGAGGCCGGAGCAGCTGGAGAGGGTTCTGGGACTGTCACCCTGGTCTGCTCTAATCCACCCTGTGAAACCCACGAGACAGGAACCACCAACACAGCCACCACCTCTTCTGCCACCATGGGAGCAGGGCAGGTCTGCTCTAACCCTCCCTGCGAAACCCACGAGACAGGAACCACCAACACAGCCACCACCTCTTCTGCCACCATGGGAGCAGGGCAAGTCTGCTCTAACCCACCATGTGAGACCCATGAAACAGGAACCACCAACACAGCCACAACTGCATCGTCGAACATGTCAGCGCTCCGTGTGTGCTCCAACCCACCATGTGAGACCCACGAAACTGGGACAACTAACACAGCTACCACAGCATCTGCTAATATGGGAGGGGTCCAGCAGGTGTGCTCCAACCCACCCTGTGAGACCCACGTGACAGGCACCACCAACACAGCCACCCAGTCGTCATCTAACATGACCACGGGCCAGACGGGCACCGTGCAGAGGGTGTGCTCCAACCCGCCCTGCGAAACCCACGAGACAGGGACCACCAACACCCCGTCCACAGCCACCTCCAGCATGGGAGGTGACCAGACCAGCACAGCAACGGGCCTGGTCCAGAGGGTGTGCTCCAACCCACCCTGTGAAACACACGAGACTGGGACCACCAACACAGCCACCACTGCCACCTGCAGCATGGAGACAGGCGAAGGCACAGGTACGCCAACATATACTGTAACTCTTAGCTCAGCCTCCTTAATAATTAATAAATTATATTTTAATTACCTTTTATGAACAGCCTATTAAACAACATAAAGTTACTGACTCAGCCATAAATTGCTACAATGTAAATCCTTAGCTTTTTAACTATTCTTGACGTTATTTCATGGTCTATCATTTTAGTTTGTTCTTCCTCTTCTACTAACAGACACAGCAGAAGTGCTGACTTGCCACATGGTAGATGCTTGTCCTTCTTTCAGGTAACGAAATGAAATGAATGGGAATGAAGTCAAACCTAATTTATGTTTTCTGAATCCTGTCAGCAGCCCAGCAGACAGAGGAGGGAACCGAAAGTACCAGCAGCACAGAAGTGGCCTCTACCACTGCAGCAACTGGCATGGTCACCACCACCCAGGGCAGGGCCATCACTACCGTCACTCAGTCTACACCAGCACCTGGACCCTCTGTACCAGTAAGAAAAGCACATATTTATTGTCTGTCTTAAGGCGGCATGTGTGAATCTGATGTCATGATGTGAGAGAAACATGTCATTTAAAAAAATGTTTGTTTCTGTCCAGTCGATTTCATCAATCACAGAGGGCGTCAGTACTGCTGCCAGCTCCACAGAGGAACAAATGCAAACTGATGAGGCAGCATCAGCAGAAGCTGCACCCACAGAAGAGGGAGCTACTGCTATGGAGACACAAGCAGAGGTAAATGCAGTATAATACATACATACAAACGTCATATGAAGCCAGTGTTGGGTCCACTTTTTGAAATTTGAAACTATTAATGCATTTTTGCAGTCATTTGATGGAACCTCTGAAATGTTTTCTCTCAGGGAGAAGCTGCAGCAGCGACAGCATTGAACCTGCCCTCAGAGCTAATGTCTGAGGGTCAGGGAGCCACACTCATGGTGACAGGGCTGTCGGACGAGGAACTGGCTGTGACTGCAGCAGCAGAGGCTGCCGCTCAGGCAGCAGCCACAGAAGAAGCCCAGGCCCTCGCTATTCAGGCTGTTCTCCAGGCAGCTCAGCAAGCTGTAATGAGTGAGTACAACCATAATCGTGTATAACTAGATGTTTATTTAGATTTTCAACAGTGGCATCATGGAACAAGGTCTGGTCTTGTGCAGAACCAAAAGCTGGCTCTAAATTCTGCAACTATTGCAACCTCAACAATGATATAGTTGTTACTCGTGAAGTTGACATGGTTGTGGTATGAATGAATTCTTAAATATTTTCTGTGTTTACAGATGAAGGCGATTCCGCTGGAGAGAGTCAACAACCCACCAACATCCCCATCATGCTGACCCAGCAGGAGCTGGCAGCGCTGGTACAACAGCAGCAGCAGCTGCAGGAGGCTCAGGCTGCAGCCCAGCAGGCCACTGTGGACACAAGCTTGCCCACTGAAGGTCTCGCCCCTGCTGACAGCCTCAACGACCCCTCTGTCGAGAGCAACGGACACAACGAGATGGCTGCCGCAGTCACCAGTGCTGTAGCATCTCTGCTGCCACGTACCACTGCTGAGAGTAAGAGACGTTGTGCTTTTTTTTAATAGTTACTTTGTATGTCGTTATGTATTTTAGATTGACACTTTTGTATTACTCCTGTCACTCCACAGCACTTGCTCCATCAAGCACCTTTGCACCCTCTGTATCGGTGGCAAGCCCAGCCAAGCTGCAAGCAGCAGCCGCTCTCGCAGAAGTCGCCAATGGCATCGAGGGAGAGGTGAGTCATTGTAGTATTAATGAACATCTGGTTGGTCCAGGCAGGTCAAAGAGAGAGAAAATAATTCATTTTTAATTGACTATATTTTTGTTTGTTTTTTCCCAAACAGAAGCAAGCCCCTCAGCCAACCCCAGTGAAGCCTGTTGTAAAGAAAGAGAACCAATGGTTCGATGTTGGAATCGTAAAAGTGACAAATATGGTTGTCACCCACTTCTATGTGCCAGCAGATGATTCTCAAGGAGATGTAAGTGTCTCAGGTGGCCTCCTTCATGCTCAGAGGACTATGTTCATTTACTCAATGCATCTCTAATTGCTTAATTTTCTGTTTGCTAGGATGACTCTGGCATCATGCCAGACTACAGCCAGATGAAGAAAATGGAGCTGCAGCCTGGAACGGCTTATAAGTTCCGTGTTGCTGGAATCAACGCTTGTGGTCGTGGAGCTTTCTCTGAGATTTCTGCTTTCAAGACTTGCCTACCAGGCTTCCCAGGGGCACCTTGTGCCATCAAAATCAGCAAGGTAAACGCAACGACATATAGATGCTCGAACTGCACTGACAGTAGCACCAGCTGTTCCCACGAGCCAGGCTTTCCAGCACTGATTAATATCTGAGTACTTTCTCTCTGCAGAGCCCAGATGGTGCCCACCTCACCTGGGAGCCACCCTCGGTGACGTCAGGGAAGATCATCGAGTACTCGGTGTACCTGGCCATCCAGAGCAACCAGACAGCTGAAGCCAAGGCCTCAACCCCGGCCCAGCTAGCCTTCATGCGTGTGTACTGTGGACCCAACCCCTCATGCTTGGTGCAATCGTCCAGCCTCTCCAACGCCCACATCGACTACACCACCAAGCCAGCCATCATCTTCCGCATCGCCGCCCGAAACGAGAAGGGATACGGTCCTGCCACCCAAGTTCGATGGCTGCAAGGTGAGCACAGCGCATCATCAAATATTACTCGGGTGTTAGTGAGTGAATGGTTAATTAGTGGACGACGAGAGATATTTTAACCATTTTTCTGCCTTGTAGAATCTGGCAAAGATGCTGCCTCGGCAAAACCGGCCCCCAAAAGACCAGGCACCTCTCCAGATACGTAAGTACAGTATTCATGTGTCATACACACAGGCACCACATTAACGTGGCACTGACGAATAAAACATGCAATACTCATTCTGGTTTTATGTGTGCTTTGCAGTAAGGCTACTGGTCCAAAGAAAGCAAGGACGGACCAGTGAGGTTGCCCAGAGACCCCTCCCAGTCTTTTGTCCTTTTTCCACTCGCTGTCCTTTTATCAGGAAGACTGACCTTCACCCCTCCTCCACCTCCTCATCCTCATCCTAATCTCATCTTCCACTCTCAAGTCTCAGATCAAGACAGCAGTGGAGGCAGAACAACCGTATGAAGCCGAGATGAAAGTCAATCTGAGAGATGTTTCTGTAGATAAAAACCCTCCTTTTCTCCTTGTTCTGTTGGTCGTACTATTTTTAGAGCAACACAAACTTAGAAGCACATTATCTTTTTCAGTCACATCCCTTTCCATCCTTTAACATCTATTTTTGGCTTGTTTCAGTAGTTGAGCAGTATAGAGAAGCATTTACATCTTTCACAAACTGGGAGCCAGCCTGAGCGCAATGTTACCTTTTTTCTTTCTTTTTTTTTTTTTCTTTTTTTTTTGTCTTTGTTTTGTGAATCCTGGGGGGATGTAGAGAGAGACTACATGAAATGATGTACAGTGTTGAAAAAGGCTGTGGAGGCATTAGTTTAGACGAGAGGAAAAATCAGTATGGAAACAAATAAAGCACTTGTCCTCAACGAAAGAGGACATCATTTTTTCCTTTCCTTTTTTTGCTCAAAACAAATTTGCTTCATCAAGAACCAAGTCTGTACAGTCATCGTACTGGACTCCAGTGTCCTGGTAATGTCATCACTGTGCGCTTTTTACCCCAAGATGAGGACTGGTGGCCGACACTTCGAAGTGGACAAAAGAGAATGACAAAGGAAGAGATTGTTGAGAATGAATGACAAGACTTTGCTAGGACTGAGACTTGCAGCACACACAGAAAAAATATCTTGCAAAAATCTTCCCAAAAAATTAGCAAGCAATGACGCAGAAGATCTTTTGTGTAGTTTATTTTTGTATTTTTTAAGCTTTTTTTTTCTCCTGTGTGTATGTGTATGTTGTGTGCATTTTTAAAGACATCACTTTTTTTAACTGTTGTTCATCCCCATAGTTTGTGTTTGTGGGAAGATTGGTGGCTGTGTTGAGGTTGCCACTATATTTTTAAAAATCTTCATTCAGTTGGTCGTATGTTCCTGTTAACAGATGGTGGTGAAAGAGAGAAAGACTTTTGTATTTGTTCCAAGTAGAACCGCAGAGGTTATAGGACTGAAGGGAACTTTGAAGTGGACCCAGGGAGAGGAGAGTTTTTACTTTGTTTACTACTCAATTCTTGTGTTGCTTTGTTTGCCAAACAAGGAATTTCATGGGGTATGTGAAAAATAACATCAGATCTTTTCATACCTTTTCCCCAATAATATCCCAATCAGTTGTCCTACGCTTTTTATGCTCATGAATGTGGTGTCTCACCTCTTCTTTAATTTTTAGAATGGCAAATTATATTAGTAGACCTATTTTCCCTATCCTATTGATGTATGTGAATCCATTTAATAAATTTTAATTTTTTTCCTTCCACGGCTCTGTATTTCAGACTACAGATGGTGTGCAAGCTAACTGTGACGTGTAAACCCGTATGTCTTTGAATGGGGATGTCTTGGGAAGAAAGCTTACATAGCCAGAGTGTACTCACTTGTAAATTAGTTCGTTCATAGAGCAAGAATAAAACAAACAAAAAAAACATCTTGGCCTTTTATATAATTACCTGTAACAAACTGTTTTTACATGTTGGTCATCTCTTGATTGCCTTTTGTGTCTTTACTTATAAAAGAAACAAATATATATATAAATATATATAGTCTCCCTGATTGTTCTAATTTGCTTCTGTCGAGCTGATTCACTGTAGGAGTCTGAATCACTGCTTAGGTTCATTACAGTACAAACTTGTACAGGGAGGAGGTTTCTGACTGGACATGAGTGTATATCTACTTTTTAAGGGCGGATTCATTTGTGATGGTAACGGCCAGGAAGGAAGATCAGAGCCAAGGTTTCCGCTTGCCGCCTTTTCTCCGGCTCGCACCTTGGTTTCCGTTTGTGGTTTCTCCCGATTTCTTTCTAGAAGCGAACTTTCTCTTCATATGCATTCATAATTTTGTGCGTGTCAGTGTGTCTGTTGAACAAAACTAGACATGCATGCAAAAGCAGTGTATTTTAGTAGTGATGCCTTAAGTTAGACCATAAGCTGAAGGTTCTCAAAAAAAGAAAAAACATTTAATGAGTTTGTTCCTCTCTCCATGTGGTATACAATTGTGTCCTTTCCTTCCATAGTACCTTTGCTGGGTCACTATTTTTGCACCCTCGTTAGATAGGTCATCATCAGCAGTGCCGAGGTCTCTCTGAACTTTCCCTCCCACACTGGGACGAGTGCTGCCCTCAGCATTCACAGGTGTTGCGAGTTTCTGTCGGCTGTTTGCAGGTTATCTGGAAATGTCCTGTATTTTCCAATGTGTGTTTTTTGTACTGTAGGGAGTAATGTATCTTTTATCATCAAAAAATAAACATGTTAAACATAGACATTTGGTGTCTTTGGTGTCTCTTAAATACAAACATAAAATCAAAGTAAATCACCTGTTGTAAGCCGCGCTGAGCCGCTCTCTGAAACGGCTTCTCTACTTCTAGATCTTCTTTGGCGCTTCCTTCAAAGTACTCTGCTCCGATCTCCTCACACCACTGCAGAGCCGACCTGCCTGACACCTGCAAGAAAATAAGTCACAAATCAGGTTCCACAATAAGGATGGAAACAATTTGTGTTAGTGAGCTCCAGCACTGGAAACTAATCCCCTCCACCTTTACCCATGTATGTTCTCAAATACATTAAAAAATCAGTCGTTCTACTTTCACTTCAGTAGATTTTCCGTCAGGTATTAACAGCTTTTGTAACAGTTAGAATTACACAATAGCTCACAGTGAAATGTGTGTTTTCAATTTGTAGTAAAGCTCTCATAACAGAGCCAAGGTCTCTTTGGCAGAGCACTCCTAAAGTGCAGCAGTTAATCAATTCATCTTTTAGTCTATAACATGTCCGAATACAGTAATAAAGAATTACTAAACTCCAAGGTAACATCTTATAACATCACCTCCTCACATTGGAGAAGTTGTGACCAGAGTGATTAGAATTTTTGCTTTAAATGATCGATCAATTATCAATTATAATTATAATTCATTTTATGTTGATTGATTGATAATTTAATTGTTTCTTCGTAACTGTTTCAGTATTTCTAATTAAACACAATATTCTTTACGTCCTTGGAGCTCTGTGTGGTCATGATTACATTAAACACCGCATATCTTACTTTGCACTCATCAACACCAAATATGTCATTTCACATTTTCACATCTCAAAGTACTAAGTCAAACATCTCCAGGATGAGCAGCTAAAAAAATTTTTTTAGATTTTAAATAGCATCTGCCTCTGACTCAGTGCTCCTGGATATCCCACAGCCTGTGCACATTGGTCATAGTTACACTTTAACCTGCAATGACCCAACCCCCACCACCAACACACATATCATTTGATTGATGACTTGTCTGGCTGAGTCTGAATATCAGAGAATCACATTGATGAAATAGTGTTTGATTGGCTCATTTCCTGAAAAGTAAAAAACTATCAACTTGATACTAACTGACCTCCCGGTCACTCAGGTCGGTCTTGTTGCCCAGGACAATAAAAGGGAAGTCAGATGGGTCCTGGGGTTCGCCCTGGACCAGGAACTCCTTCCTCCACAAATCCAAGGCGGAGAAACTGGCCTTGGATGTGACATCAAACACCAGCATGCAGCAGTGGGCTCCTCTGTACAGAGGTGTACCCAGAGACTGGAACCTCTCTGTACCTGCTGTGTCCCAGATCTGACACACACACACACACACACACACACACACACACACACACACACACACACACACACACACACACACAAACCAACACACACACACACACACACACACACACACACAAGAATGTGAACGTGCATCAGTGGTCAGTGGTGGTTCGTGTTTCACTGCACAGGTGGACAGAGGAGTTACCTGCAGGGTGACTGTGTCCCCGTCTATGTTGACGGTCTTGGAGAGGAAGTCAGTCCCTACAGTGGCTCGGTACATGTTGGTGAAGCGGTGATTCACATATCTGTTCATGAAGGAGGATTTTCCCACCCTGAGTAAACACACACACACGCACACACACGGCAGGTAAAGGCACAGTACACTCAAATCTGTCTCTCAGTTTAACAAAAACTCAATACTCACTGCACCACTGAACACTAAACTACACTTTTGAGTACAATCATTCCTGTCAGATTTACACTTCAGTGTTACTATAAATCAAGACGTCCCAGTAAGTGAAAGTGAAACAGTCGACGCAGCAGTAAAACAAAACATTTGATCAAATGACAAATGACTGATTTTCAAACACAAGCTGGTTGACGTTACCCAGAGTCTCCTATGAGGATGATTTTCAGGGTAACAGGACCTTTCCTTTCGTTCATGTTCACGTTTGTTTCCACCGGAGCTACAGCTGTTGATGCTGCCTTCAGGTGCTCCTCGTAATTTTACCATCCAGTAATTTGACGCGTCACGGTACCCTTATGTTTTTACTGTAATCTGGGCCGTAGCAAGGATAAAAACACTGACATTTAATATTATTAGCCTAGTTATTCAACTGTTCAATAATATTTTAGATCAAATTAATGGAGATTTCCAAACATGAAGCCTTTTCTATACTGTCTTTTTTTGTCCACAAGTAGTCAAACAAGTCTTGAAATAAACAACAACAACAAACAACTCCCTGATTTTTCCAAAACAAACAAAAAAGAGCACGACCTCAGTGTTTTTCATAGAAGAAGTACATACAGCCACTGTAGTATTTTGATGTCTTATGCCATTGAAGGCATCATATGACAGCAGCCCTGTTTGGTCTGCACATTACTGACCCCTGTCCTCTTTTACTGTCACAACCCAAAGACACAGCTGATATCAGATACAAAGATGAAAAAGGACTATCACAATAATGCAAACACACAAGATGGATAGATCCTGCATTTGTTTTATTCCTTTTGACTTCACTGTAAAACAGTAGCTAGTTTTGGATTAATTCTCATTAAACATGTACTTTACTGGAAATTAGATGTAATACTTTTTAAATGTACCACTAGAGGGCAGCACAGGCTTCAGGTGATTCACCTTTCATCCAGGATTTACTTTCAGCTGGAGCTGGCAGGTGTTATCTACATTATGTCTGGTGATTATTAAATGTTTATTGATGTGTGACGTGTAAACACAGACATTTCAATTATTTGAATTTAGTTAAAAAAAAATAATAAAATAAATTCATCTTTAAAATCATCACTAGCCCATAACACTGCACATACTGTACACACAGTTCATATCACAGTGAAGCTGTAAAAATATCATGTATGTTCAGCACATCATAAATCCTGCAGCAAAATGAAAAATCCTAAACCCTCTGTGACTCACTGGTGAGTCAGTCAACTCATCTGGAGCCAAACTTTGATCAAACTCACAGAACTTTGGAGATGGAGATACCAAAGTTTACAAAGATAATAAATATGTCAGGCTGAATTTTGAAGAATTGGATAAAAAATAATGAAGTAGACATTTAGAAAATTTACATTTGATGGATCATAGAAAAACAGAGTGTTGGGTTTGAATTTTTTTACTCCATGTAAGCACCATATACATAATAAAAAGCTGAAACCAGCTAATACATATTATACAGTGTGTGATATTCTCAGAAAACTTTCCAACCTTAAAGCTACTTAATCATCCTAAGTATGACATACAAAGGGAAACTGGATCTGACGAGGTTAAAATAATTCCTTAAAGATTACAACTGACCACCAAAGATACAGACACAAAGAAACATAATACATAATATGTACAAATGACTCTCAGTGGTTGGTAATCCATGAGGGAAAAAAAGTTTAAAAAAAAACAAATAAAAATAAGATGCAGGATTAAAAGACCAGCAAACTAATATGAAAGTTTAAACAAAGGAAAACACAGTGACATCCATGTAGGCTTACATGCTTTTCATGAGTCATGTTGAGAGGTGCAGCAGAATACTGAGATTACACAAATTCAGCAATACATGAAGCCATGGTATCTCAGTCAGTGGTGCAAGCTTTGGCCACTTAACCACCTGACTTTATTAGTCATTGCAGAGGCACATAGTCATATCACACTGCTGCCGCACAAAATATCTTGTGTAGATCAACACATGTGCCAACAAAACCACACAGACACCACAATAGTTACTCTTTACTGAGTTAAAATATAAGTAACTGCTGAGAGAAAGGAGTAAAACTAAAAAACGACGGAGAGGACAGTGTGTGTGTGTGTGTGTGTGTGTGTGTGTGTGTGTGAGAGAGAGAGATCTCCTGGGTATGTCTCTGCAGCCCTGCATGGCAGAGATAAGACCACCGCCTACCCAGAAGCCTGTTTCTTGGGAATTAGAAAGCTGTCCCCAAAGTCCACTGGTGACACACAACACCATCCATCACCCAGCTACAACAGGCTCACACAACCTCCCAACTGCCCAACAAGACATTCCTGTGTCACATCACACTGCTTCTGCCAAGATACTGTCAACAGAACAGGCATGTTGTGTGTGTGTGTCTATCTATGCATGTGTGTACGCAGGCTTATGTGAGTTACATGGCACCACCACAGACGTGCTGCAATGTCCTGTAGGTCTGTGTGTACGTCTGTGCTGCTGTATGACAGTGAGCGGCGGTCCTGTAATTCCTGGCCTCTTTCTTTCATCTTGATAGGCTCTTATCAGGGCAGAGCAGCCCGCTCACACAGCGGCAGCAGCCACATCCCTGCCCAGCTGTCCACACCGCCACACAGAACTCATCTCACTCTTTCACTCATAATATTACTCTCATTCAGACAGACTGCTGTGCTGCATGCGCAGGTTATCTCATGCTTTTTCAGTTTTTATCTTATTGTCTCTGAAACAAAAGTGTGCACACAGACAGATGCATAAAACCAAACCAAGAAAAGCCATAAACTGAAGTAGATACTTCAATAAATCAGCATCACCAACCGTCTTTCAATATATATCCACATATCCTGTTCAGTGTCATGTCAAGCTGGAGCCCACCCAGCATGCACTGGATGCAAGGCAGGCTACATCCTCCACAGGTTGCTAGTCTATCACAGAGAAAACACATACACACCTGCAGGAAACAGAGAGTTTCCAATCCACCTGACCTCCAAAACGTGAACTCTGGACTTTTCTTACTGAGGCGACGGAGCTTACACCACAGTGTTACAAATGAATAACATCAGGGCTGTTGCAGTGACCAAAGTGATATTTTCCATCTCTTCCTCTTTGCAATCCTGCAGATGATAGTTTAAAAAGAATTTCTCATCTAATTTGATTTCTTACAGTGGTCTGACACATTGTTTGTGGCAATACATTTCAATTGCCCATTTTTAAAATAGAGGTCATGAATTCTTTGTTTTGTTTTGTTTTGTTTTGTTTTGTTTTGTTTTGTTTTGTTTTGTTTTGTTTTGTTTTGTTTTGTTTTGTTTTGTTTTGTTTTGTTTTGTTTTGTTTTGTTTTGTTTTGTTTTGTTTTGTTTTGTTTTGTTTTGTTTTGTTTTGTTTTGTTTTGTTTTGTTTTGTTTTGTTTTGTTTTGTTTTGTTTTGTTTTGTTTTGTTTTGTTTTGTTTTGTTTTGTTTTGTTTTGTTTTGTTTTGTTTTGTTTTGTTTTGTTTTGTTTTGTTTTGTTTTGTTTTGTTTTGTTTTGTTTTGTTTTGTTTTGTTTTGTTTTGTTTTGTTTGATTAATCAGTATTATACAATTTGACATATCTTGAAAACTGTGTAAATGTGAAGCTTAGAAAACCAAACTCTGCAAAACAAAGCATGATCAATGAGGCTGTAGATATCACAGAATCAGACATAGTGGAGCAGGACAACTAAATACTAATATATAAGTAGATGTAAACAATGATCATTATCCTGGATAACTATTTAGAAATCTGATTTCCACTAATAATTAAAACATGTCACGAGTTTCTAATTCCCCACATTCCCCGAAACACAGAGGACACAGCTACAGCCCTGATAAAGAGGACATGTCAGGTCAGCGCTGTGTTTCCGGACACACATCTGGTCACATATTCAGTGGAGGTGTTTCTAACCCGTGACCATGCTGACTTTTACTACAGACAGTATCAAACATGTGTCTACTGTCGCAGGATGGGAATTTTATCCCAAGCAACTGTAGAAAGAGTTTAAGGAAACAAGTTTAAGGAAACAGGTGACTCAATTACAATTTTGTGCCGCATTTAGCTTGGTCTATTTATTTATTTGCATCTGGCCTAACTGATGCAGTTTGTCAGCCTGTTGCTACCTTATCTGGATATACTTTCAATTTAACTGCTGTTGCTTCTTAAATGGCAGAAAAAGACCCACTGTTACAATTTAAAAAAAAAGGGACTCAATTATTCCCAACTGTTTTCCTCCCCTGATTTCCCTGAAAACTGTAAATGAACAAAGACAGAGGAAAGTTGGGGAACTGCTTTGACTAGCAAATGACTGGGACAGTGACGGGCCTGTGCGCAGCCAGGCTGTGACCAGACCATATCTCTCCCCCATGATTGCAGTTCTTCTCCCAATTTGCATTACTGTGTTCCACTATAAGCTTTGCTGGCCCACAAAGAAATTGAGTCTTTGCATTTTATATTTGCTTTGTTCAAATGTCTGTCAAACTCTTTTCCATGTGGGCTGGGTCTTATCAGGGGTTGTATGCACATTTCATCAACAGACAAAAAGCAACCATCCTGTGAACTGACTGCCCTGCCTGGAACTGCTGCATCACATCCTGCATTTATGTGTATATCTGAGCAAACACTGAAGGTATATCAGAAAAAGTACATTTCTGTCCACCAGCTATACCCAACTGTTTAATAATAGAATTGGTTTGGTGCTGATATGCTTTTTATATGTGGAGCTTCCTGTGTGGAAACCATCACAGATACAAACATGTTATCAATACTACACTGCAGCACACGCAGCTATAAAGGAAGAGCAGAGGAACCAAGATTTAAAGCGGACACCTTCGCCTGACGCGCACACTTCAGAAGCCAAAAACATTTGATTTGTAGCATTGGCAAATAAATTACACAGTTAAACATTATATTAAATCCAGGGCTGTAAATATGTTAGATCTGCACTCATACAAGTTATTTCTCTCTGGACAAAAGAGGTGTGTCTTTCAAAAAAAAAAAAAGTTGTCCCCCAACCCCTCCCACGAACTGTCTCTTAGCCCTAAACTTTGCTGGTGGTTGGGGACGTTGTTCTTGTAGCCATCAGCCTATGCTGAGCTCGACACTCAAGCTGTGCCGCCTTCCACCTGGCTGTGTAAATTTAACCCTGAGTCCTGCTGCTCACCTCGCTCTGTGTCTGTGACATTCTCTCAGGTAGGTCACCCCCTCAGCTTTTTGTCTCCTGTTTTGTCTTAATATTATCCTGGCAACACCAGTGAGTAATCTTATTCATCTGGCGAAAAAAAAAAAAAAAAATATATATATATATATATATATATATACAGTATATATCTGGCTTTTGAAAACACATTTGAAACTTTTACTGGTGATGGTTAAATATCACCTCAGGCCATTTCTTGCCTGATTGAACTTTTACAGATATGAGATGTGAGGACTTTGCTTTCAGTTTCCTTCTCAATGAAATGAACACTTTATCTTCAATATTGTATTTCGATTTTTATTATTCTTATCATTTTGAAATGTTTTATTTTTATTCAGATTTTTTTTTTTTTTTTTACCATGGTCAAATGAGTTTGGATCAGCTGTTCCTGACTCATGCTTTTATGGGGCTTTGAGTTAAATCAATTTATATCAAATTAAATATCTCATCCTGTATATCTTTCATGTATGTATATGTATTAATGTAAATAACGGTATTAAACGCATACCCATTCATCTTTCAATTAGGACAACAATTAACCCGCAAGTTAATTAACCACATTTCTTTGTGAAGCTCATATCTGAGAATTAAATTTGTTTAAAATGATTAAATCTGAATCTAAATGTGATTATTTCCACCTGTTTTAATATCTCGATTCCTCAGTCCAGTATTCTTTGATCGGCTCTCCATCACATGCTGTCTCACACTCCTCTGGTATCAGGCTCATGTTGTATCAGTGGAGCTGGATATATTTAGCATTACAATAATGCTGTCTATCAGATTTTCTCACACTTTATCGGACACTATGAGCCTCTGCTCTTTCCTCTTCTCTTTCCTCTAAAGATATGGAGTGAGAGCGGCCTTGTATGTCAGTGTAGTTGCGGTAATACTGCTCTACCAGTCTTAGCTTTCACAGTTTCTGTCACACTGAGTCATTCTTTATTTCGTAAAGGACAGTAAATGTACTTTTCATGCTTTTTTTCCCTCACCACGAGGACTAAAAACTGTATTACAATGCATTTTTTTCCTGAAAAAAAAAAAATGCTTAAACATATGCACACTAGCACTAATTAAAACTCCCCACACAAATCACAGATTTAGAAGACTGGTGTGAAAATGTCACATAATCTCCTCAGAAGTGTGACAGAGGTTGTTGTTAACACTCTCACTTTAAGAATCTGCTGCAAACACGACCTCAGGTGTTTTTTTAATCATTATTTTTAGTTGGTGTCGTGCTGTTTGTCCACCCTGCACCCTCCCTGAGGACGTGTATTTTTTGCATTCTTCTAACTGACACACCTATTGTAGAAAGGCTACTCAGTGACTGTTTGGTCACTGGCTGCATCACCACATTTATAGAGCCATTTATTTTTAGTTTTTACTTTCAGCCACAGTCAAATGAGGATCCTAGAAAAGGAAGTTTGAAGAAACCTGCTGTCGAGAGATCTTATCCTTCAAGTTACACTGGTTGTTGTGAAGTGAAGAGCAGGGTGATGATGTAGTTGCTCCAATCAAAGTTACTCTAAATCACACAGTTGTTACTTACTGTGGCCCGATCCTTCCCAGTGTGACCAAAAAATATAAAAATGCCCTTTCAGTTTAAGAAAAATGATCCTGAGAAGATGCATTTGGCAGAAAAAGCACTGTCGATTTCTTACATCCATGCCATGGTCTTGCTACAGCTCGAGTCTGTCCCTGTCAGCATGGAGGATTCCTCAGAGCAGTCCCACTGGGTGTCTCCGGCTCTGCTCAGCTCAGACCCACTCGCTGGTTTCTCCTCTGAGCCCGTTCTGCTTCCTCCAGGGGAGGAGAGTGAGGCCTTTTTCTCCAGCCAGGACACAGACTACACCGGCCTGCCCTCCTTCTTCTCCAACCCAAGCCACAGCCGAGCACCGTCCACCTACAGACACAGCTCGGGTCAGTGCTCCCACCCACTCTTATCCACCTAATTCACTTTCACATCCGCCATCTAAAACATGATCTGACTTTATCTATTCTGTCCCTCTCTTCCCCCAAAGTTCGACAGGTGTTCACCTCACCGAGCCTCCTCAGTAACCTCCAGCTGCTGGACGGGCCTGCCAGCCACTCCCTGAGCTCCCCCTACAACCCCACAGCCAACAGCTGGAGCAGCAGTTCTCTCACCAAGACCCCGCTGCACTCACACACCCCGACTTCCCTCTACACTCCAGGGGTCACCTCCTCCTTCACCACCTCCAGAGATGGATACCCTTCTCCGGGGAGAGAGGGCAGGGAGAGCCCCCGGCTTCAGGAGGCCCTAAAGGCCGAGCGCCTGAGCCCTCTGGGGGGGGTGGGAGCCAGCAGCAGCTTTCTTAATCTGACTCCTGCTGCTGGGAGTGTGTACACACCGTCGTCCCACTCCCACCCGCACATGCTAAGCCCCTACAGCTCATACATGACCAGTCCGCAGGAGTACAGCTCTGCTGCGCTATACAGCACCGGGGGCTGGATGAGCCCCTCGTACTCTCCTAAACTCCGCAACAAGATGAGGATATCCACTCCAGGTGAGGATGCAGCGACACACCCATGGACAAGACAATCTCAACACAAGGTCCATTTAGTGGCTGTTCTGGACATTTCAGTCACATTGCATGACTTTTTCTCAGCAGATGGAGTTGTTCTAGTTGTGATGGAGATGTAGATGAAAGGTCAAAAATGAACTCTCAGTCTCAACTTTAAAGCCAAATTTTTGGAATTTGAATGTCTACATTTCCATGACAACTGTGCATCTGCAAATAAATGCAACTAAATGGACTAAATGTGGGGCGATAGTTTTGTCAACAAAAGGATTTTGTTCATTAATGAGATATTAACCAGTCCTATATTCTCTGTATTATGAGTAAAAGTCATTGTAAAGTGTTTTCTATGTATTTTTGATTCTGAACAGAGGCCAGAGAGTGTGTCAACTGTGGAGCCACAGCCACCCCACTGTGGCGTCGGGATGGTACAGGCCACTACCTGTGCAATGCCTGTGGACTGTACCATAAGATGAATGGCCAAAATAGACCTCTCATCCGACCCAAGAAAAGACTGGTATGGCCCACTGACGGCCCTCGCTTGGAATTACATGGATAATTTGTCATTGTCAGAGCAACTTCTAAACCCTGATTATCCTCTTTTCTGTGTTTCAGATTGTCAGCAAGCGGGCAGGTACAATGTGTGCCAACTGTCACACAAGCACAACAACCCTGTGGAGACGCAATGCCAATGGAGAACCTGTGTGTAACGCCTGTGGACTCTACTTTAAACTGCACAATGTGAGTCACTCATCCAGACAGGATTCACACTTATATTCTTTACGAAGGAGCAGAGCACTTCACTCTGAATCTGAATCTCATTCCTGTCTTTTCCCAGGTCAACCGGCCCCTCACCATGAAGAAGGACGGCATTCAAACACGCAACAGAAAAGTCTCCAACAAGAACAAGAAGAGCAAGAAGGTGGCCATGTTGGAGCAGTACTCTGAGGTGAATCAGCCATCTTCTCTGGATGACAATGGTGGGCACTTTTCCCTCGGCCCCGGGACTCTCCTGACCTACAGCCATGCACCACACCTTATCCCAGCGCCCTCCCCTCTGCACCCCTCTGCCTCCCTACCCTACACACACCACCTCAACACCGGCATGGTGCCCACACTGGTGTGAAAATACAAAACGGGCACCTTTGTATACCCTTGTACTCAGGAATCAGCGCACTTGCTTGCTTTACCACTTGTTTGTGTGGATTTGTACATATGTGTTTCTACACTGGATGTCACGTGAATGGAGTTTTATGTTTATTTTCACTGTATTTTTATTGGAAAACAACATTTTGTAGATAATTATCTTGATCAGGCCCTAGTTTGAAGTCAGATAAAATCACTCTGCGGGGTATGCTGCACATACAAACACACTGATAAGGAAATTGTTTCAGCTGTAAATATAAACACAAATCAGATTTGACAGCAATATCTGTGCCTCTTTTATTATTCATGATGTGAAATTATACTTTCCATTTGTGTTTTATGGTTCTGTTTTGTATTTGCGAAATTTATATCAGCCTACCATATTGAACTCTGCAGAGAAAATAATAAACGTGTGACTTATCCTGCTGGAGTAATGAAGGCTTTTGTTTTTAAAGTCATTTGAATTCTCAGTTCATCCGTTCAGCTCGGTGAACTGTCTACAGCAAAGCTCCTGTGTGATGTTATTGTACTCCCCTGCTCAGGTATAATAGCCTCTTTGTACGGGCACAGCTCCACTTTGACAGTGTAATTGAACATAGCGGGTATGCAAATCCCCTATTCCGCAGAAGTGACAAATATTCAACTAAAGTGCAACACTTACCCCTGGTTTTATATTTAGACTAGCGCTGCCAGTTGGTGAACAAGTGGGCTTCAGGTTCAACACAGCAAACACAAGCTCATGTTTGTATTTGCTATTAGTCATCAGTGGTTGTGTGCTCATAAAAGGGGATTTTGTCATACATAAAGTTTCCACTCTGTTGTCGCACTTGAATGCAAAGGTCAGAGGCTACGCGGAAGCCGCTTGATAATGACTAGTAACAACATATTTCATTACATCATAGCTCTTTACAAGATAAATTTCATTTCTCCCCAAAGACGGACACCAGAAAGCTGAAGCTGCAACAGACGAACTGTAAATGCCCTGAGGTGAAGTGTGTTTATGTCAATCTTGCTTAAGTGAAAGTACAAAAGTATTGATAATAAAAGTAAAAGTATAAAAACCAAAACTTTACCAAAACCAACCAAAGTTATAGTATATTAGGTATTTTATCAAGGGGTCATTATTACTAATATTTAAATATATATCAGACATGTAAGACACCATTTACTGTTACAAGTTGTAGGTAAATTCAAAAACTTTGTCCTTAGTTGTATTAGGTTTTTTCATCTGTAATGATGCATCATGTTTTGTTAACTGGTCATGTGTATTTGAAAAATATTAATCTGGAAAGTAAAATATCTATAAATAAATATAGTTTGGTACGTTACGCCCCTATAAAACATGGTAGATTAAAAGTATAAAGTAGCAGAAAATGAAAAATATTCAACCAAAGTAAAAGTACGTCAAAACTACACAAGCTTTACTTCATCATACAGTTTTGTGTAGATTTTAGTGACACTTTGACTTCCTGACATTTTCAGACATATTGGGCCACTTTGATTGTTGATATCCAGTTCATCCCGAACCAGATATATACAACTGTTTCTTTATGATCAAAGTTGTGTCCATGTCGCTGTCACTGATCAGATCAACCCTTTCAGGGAAAGTCCTTTGACAGAACCTACAGCAAAAGATAACTCAAAAACCTATCAAAGAAAAACATGAAATGCATTACATCCTCCAAGTGCAAGTTCCTTAGCATTTCATTTAAAATGCCATGCAGTACACACAGCACAGTAGTACAGTATGTATATGTAGTGTATTTTTTATGCTGAGCAGCAGGGCAGGGGTAGTTCACTCAGGACTGGGGGATGACTGATATGTTATCACTGGGGACACAGACACCAAACCATCCACCTGCCGCTGGCACCGCCACTCTCACACTCCCTGTCAGTTACTGAGAGAGGGGCACTGTGTGCTCTTTAGGTATTTAGACATGACCTTCAGAAAAGTTATGATAAACAAATTAATACATCATTAGTATCATCTGAAAGCCAACAAAGGGCAACTGTAAACAGACCGGTGCCGTTCTAGATTTGTTCCATTTATTTTAGTTAACTCGTATTTTCTAAAATCAGTCTGTTATGTTTGGGTTGAATCAGTCCATCCAGGTTTCATAATCTGTGGCCACGTGCACAAACGCACACACACACACACACACACACACACACACACACACACACACACACACACACACACACACACACAAACAAAACGCTTCACTTGAGACAAATGTATAAATGATCACTAACACAGTTTTAGCAGCAGATGATGTGCATGCTTCAGTGCAGACGTCAGGGAGAAATAAGACTTTCATTTAAGCATATGGTTTCAGCTTCATGAGCACGGCCCTGTGAACATCTGGGCACAGCACCCAGTTGAGACACCGTTTGACACACACACACACACACACACATACACACACACGCACACGCACACTTCTGGGTGTATTGGTGATAAATCAACTCTGGGGAAGAATTTTTGATGAGAAGCATTTTGTCACGTTGCAAACAGGTGAGTAGAGCTAATGTATTATATTTTTATCTCTTCTTTTGTTTCATTATCAGTCAACCACTGTTTCACTTAACACCTCCTGAGTCCCCCAGGACCTCGATGATGAAATTTAGTATTGATGCCCTGTGAAATAACACATTAGGACGGGGGGGGGGTTTCCATCAGAATCCATTTACCATATGTACCCAAAGTTTACCCTAAATCACACTAAAGCAAAGAAATCCCATCATTTCCCTCTGCAAGAATTAGCAGAATCAGTGAAGGTCATCGTGAGACAAGCAACTGAGTGTAAAAAAAAAAAAAAAGATATGAAATGTAAAAATTCAGTATTCTTTGGCAAGTGTGTCCATAATTTATACTCTTCCTTAACTGCCTCTATCTGCTGTTTATCTGTTGCAGCTGCCAGCTCTGCTCTGGGGAAATGGGCAACAAATGACAGGGATAGATTAGCAACCACAGGCCTGCTCCTGTTCACTCACACAGCCATCCGTTAGTGGCCTTTTCTCTCAGACTGAGCGCTTTTGTTTCTTTTCCCATTCACCCTGTTTTGCCCTTAGTTGTATGAGAAACATTTAGGGACGCAAGTGATTTGATAAGGAGTTGTTTTATCTTTGAGTATGAGAGGCATCAGGATAGATTCAGCCCACCTCTGTGCAAATTCATCTTTTGATTGCGAGTCACTTTAAACAATTCACTTCCTGAAGGATTGAACCAACGCATTTCTGACCAACGGATGTCAACACAACAGTGTTACATCTACAGTGGGAAATAAATGAGACCTAAATGCGTATAGCCATAACTTGATGTATAGTAATGTCATTCTGAAATATCTGGTACACAAGCACCCCCAGATGGTAAAAACACAACACCGCAGCTCCAGTTTTCCCCCCAACTGACGCTATGCACAGGATGTAAAACCCTCAACACTGCAGTTCAGAGATAACAGGCATTTATGTGTATGTGTGTAGTTCTCATTGTCATCTACACTGCTGATGAATGTTATGATGAACTGAGAGGAGAACATTACATCTTACTTTTCAGACTATGACACCAAGAGCACTGAACGAAGAATATGAAACAAAATACTTCTTGTAAATGGAGAGATCTTGTAAATTCAGACACACTTTGTGTACAGTTTCTTATGTAGTCTCCATGATAACATACATGTCTGTCAGTGCATGTTAGCATAAAGAATATGATGTATATGAGTGGAGTTTTTCTCGTTAAAAACATTATTAAAGCATTCCACCATGTGCAGTATTTATTTTTTTTATTTGATTTTATTCATTTGGAACTATTTCTGACATACTTGATCTATTTGACGGATTCATTGTTGTATCAGTCTATTTGTATATATCATGTATGGGTGTGGTGACCAGCAGGTATTCTTTTCATTAATGTTGAATGTGCATGAATTCACAAGATAATAAATCATTAAATCAGACAATTGTAATAGTGCATAACGTCTCCCGAAAGGATTCACAACATTGTCAGCTGCTTTTGTTAAGATTCTGTCTTCATTAAATATAAATTTGTTTCCCCTGTATCTGAAAATGGTCTGGAGCCTGGATAGTTCTTTTCTTTATGTAATAAATAAGACATTTTAACAGGAATATGTGATGATGCTGTGAGCCCTATGGAGGATATAATGCACAATTACAGTGTGGTGGGCTCAGGACTCAGTTTGGCAGTAAGCTGTAGACATGCGTGTATTTTCACACAGGGTTTTTTAGACAGTCGATAAAACAAAACAAAATAAAGACACAAGAAAAACATAAATATATTTATTTTTTGAAGCATGCCTTAACTCCAGTACAGCCAACAAAAGGAGCTGAGCATTACACAGTGAATAGGAATTATAACTTATATTTTCTGTCTGCTGTCAGTTCGTCAGTCATAAAAATTGGTCCTTGGATATCGCACGAAGAAAAAAAAAAAAAGCAGTCTCATCAAACCGCCTCAGTCTTTTTCACTGTTTTTTTTTTTAGCTTATCAGGTTCATTTAAAGCACTTTCAGTCTGGCAAGTTAACAGCCTTTAACGAGTCAAAATCTCTGCTGTGTGTTAAAAAAAATTAAAAGACACAGGACAAAGCGGGGTGAGAGGTACAACAGCTCACCAAGCTACATGTTATGGATACTCCCACAAACTGCTTTAGCCGATCCACATTCTGTCAGTGCACAAGCAGACTGGGCTTTTTGTAAACATTAACTATTTAGTTGTATTTCTGTTGGCGTAGCATTACACAGGGTGTGCCGTGGTGAACGACATGCAGGCACCTTTAATGTTTCTTAACGATGAGCACGCCCATCAGCACTCCTGCCAACATTGCCACTCCAACTAGCAGCCACTTCATCACAGCTTCCCGAGATCTCCTCGCTTCTGCAGCGGCGTCTTGCCCAAACATCTCAGCAAAGCAGTCCTGACAGAAAAAGAAGAGGAGAAATTTTGTTAATAGGCAATGTTTAGGTTTCTTTCCATCCATCCAAGGAATATTTTTGCAGAAAAATGTATGTATGTGTAGATATACTTTCCATTCTTTAGTCCTGTGTTTGTAATATACACTTTCTGTTTGTAATCTAAAGTATTGTCACTGCTGTATAAACAAGGAAAACAAAACAAATTTTTCATTAAAAAAAAAAAAAAAAAAAATTCTAGAAAATTGTTGAAATTAAATATGCAAATGGTTTTTTTTTGGTTTGCAGTGGAACAAGAAGCAAAAAAAAAAAAAGAAGAAATCCTACAATGAACTGGATAATATTAAAAACTCAGTACCTTTTAAAAGTAAAAATAATTTCAGAAGAAAGTGTTCTATGCTGCAGGAGTAGTTTGAGATATTTTTAGGGACATTTTGACATATTTTTTTCACATTACTCTGAGTTGCCGTGGAATAATTTGTAACTGCTGTGAATCCAAGCTGACAGCGGCTGTTGTCCTCAGAGAGAATCAAGCTTTTTTTATTTTTATTTTTTTTTATAAATTGTGCGTCACAGTTTTCGATGCACAGATCCAACTTTTATCTCTTCAGACGATTCCAATACTTCACCCCTGGGTATCAGAGTGCTGATCTGATAGCAATGCTCTTTATGTCCCCACATTTAAAATCTGTACACCTCACTGTGTGGGGATCATTTTAATGTGAAGCATCATGAAGCAAGAGATTGTTGTGGCACTACCACCTTGAGTGAATGCCACCATAATTGAATGAATGTAATTTATAGTAGACACAGTGAATTTTAGAATTATATTGACAACAATTTTATTCTATCAATCACATTATGGTCAATACCCAATCTGCATCAGAGAGCCTCTGTTGGCGCTGATTTCGATTTGTCACAGCGCCTTAAATAAAGCTGTATATTGAGTTCATCCCCTGGAGACTCACCCAGCCTCCTTGGCTCTGGATCCACGGACTGATGTGCTCATCCAGGTACATGGTCATCCAGTCTGTGATACGGGAAACCAGCTCGCTCATATTCTTCTGTATGCATTCCACACACAGTACACCCCCAAAGGCAAATAGGCCCACTATACGTCCCCAGTTGACTCCATCTTTGAACAACTCATCCATCACACTCTTAAAGCTGTGGTATGCAGTGTCAGGAGTGATGTCAAGCTGCGTGGAAAGGTCACTAAACGCTTGGTTGAAGAGCAATTCAAATTCGTCAGCAGAGTCCTTAAGGGCTGACTTTACGGCCTCTATGCCACCATGCGGGGGCGAGGACGTCCCGGGCTGACCACACCTGTCACTGCTGTTGACCAACAAGCCATTACTGGCAGCTGAGTTGGCCTTGTCTCCCTCAGTCCTTCCACCAGCATCCTCTGGCCTCAGCAGTGAGGTTGGGCAGTTACTTTGAGACAGTTTGTAGCTTATGAAGAACTCCACCAGCTCTCTGTTGCTGTACGACATTATTTCCACACTGTGAACCTCCGACACACAGCCAGTCTAGTCAGATCCCAAGGTTTCTCCTGCCATTCCTCTCAGTCTGTCGGCCGGACATTAGTGCTTCTTCACCTTGTGTTGCAGCTTGCAAGAACAGTCTGGAAGCACACATGGATGATTAAAGATTACATTAATTCATGTCAGCAAATATTTTGCAAGCTGTGCTGCTGTATTTTAACATCCATTGGTTTTCATTCATTTCTGCACCCTATGAGTTGTATAATCCATCAAGTCTGCAAACATTTTAGTCACATTATCATTGCTGGCTCTTACAATCAGTGCAGATCGATTTGAAATATGTGCATTGAATTAGCACACAATGATAAAGTGTAATAAAAGAATGCCCACTGGATATTCCTTGCATGATTCAGCAATCTGCCGAAAGATTTTCCTGATGCACAAAAATGAATGGAAAGTACTGGATAACTGAGATGGCAAGAGAATCGCATCCAAAACAACTGCAGCAAACATTTGAAACATGAGCTAACAAACATTAGCCAGCTAGCTGACTCGGAATATTGGCACTGTGAAATCGAGTAACATGAAATCGTTCCGATGTATATCGAGCTAAATATGTGCGCTTAGATGTCAGTCTGCCACCGCTGACAGCTCTGGTTGCAAGTCACGTAGATACTACCAGTTTTAGCTTCAGGTGCTAACTAGCTGTTTATAAACAGTCCACAAGAAACGCATCAAAAACAGCTACAAACTACATCCATGGGACAGGTGAGAGGCAAGAATTGACAGGTATACTTACAACTGCTTACAGATTGTTTTCCCTCTGAGAGTGCAGCTATGGAGTTGGTAAAGGCTGTAGATGTGCATGCAGACACAATATGGACATTATTGCAGCTGCAGACTCTCTGTGGCCTGGACAGTGATGCACGCTGGAAGTTGGCCAATTCAGCTACTGTACGAGCCAGAAGTCCCGCCTCCTGCTGCTCCTGCACCAATCAACGTCTGAGACACACCGGAAATAAGGGGGCCGTGAAATGACAGACACGATCGCTCGTAAGAAACGGTTGCAGTTTTTTTTTTAACCATTTCTTGTAAATAAAGCTTTTTTAGTTTTAAGTGTGCGTATTTTTTATTTTTTGAAAAGTATTAATTAACACAGTGGTGGTCGATGATAAATTAAAAGTTACGTAGTGTATGATATCTTGTCGATCATAACATCCACTCAACATAAAAACAGAAGAAGAAAAAAAAACTTCGATCTTTTCTCTCCCTAAAACTATTTCCTGTAAAAACTAAAAACTTTTTTTTGGGTTTATCTTCCATCACTTAGCTATTGAGATCAGGCATCAATTACATTAAAATCCTTCCTAAGGACTTATTTTGCTGCTTTGTAACTTTTAAAGCTCCATGAAGTTCAGTGCAGAATGTGTTAAAAATCTCTGTTTTCACAAGACTATGCACAAAAGATAATTTCAGAGACTGAGTGATGTTGGTGGTGTAGGAAAAAGAAAATAAAACTTTTTTATTAAACAAACATTTTTATTAAAACGTGTACATAAGCAATTAGCATATCCTACACTTTCTAAATGTGAAATGACAACGTTATACAGTTCTTTGTCACAGTTGAGAAAAAAAACCTATGGAAGTAGGGAAGTTGGCATAATCATAAATCTTGTGACCATTAACCAGTGAATAACAGATTTCATGAAGAGACTAACAAAGAACAATGGCTAAAATATATACAATGTCACTTACATATGCCATATATTTATGCACTATAATGTATCTTTTTTCCGTCTTTCCAACACTGGTAACGAGGTCAACATGTGGAAATAAGAGTTTTACTGACCCATGCCATTTGAACACTTATTTGTTATTTGTAACTGTCTGTGGACCTGTTTTTTTACCTTCACCCTAGTTAATACCCTTTAAAACTGAACTGTTACTCAACCAAGGCACACCGCTAAGCAGGGACACTAACAGAAAGTCATCCAAGCAGTTGCGTTCCCATCTTGCAAAGGGCTCTCCTTCTCTCTAGAGGAATCGTCTCTCTTCACAGATTCAGTCTCTTCTGTCAGGTTTGCTGGCTCCTGGAATTTTACATTCTCGAGTTGGTTCGTGTCAACATTTCCATTCTCAGTAGGTCTCTCTTCTATCTCTGGTTCACTGTCTGAATCAATTGAAATGGTCTCTGTGCATGTACTGAGTTTTAAGGTACAGTTTAGTGTCTCACACTGCTTGTTTTGGTCTGTGTTTGGAGTGCCAGACTTGAGGCCTCCAGATCTCCCCACTGAGGAGCCCACAATCTTGCTCTCTTCAAAGATCAACTCATGCTTAACTTTCTTGAGAGCTTGCATGTCGAAGCCGAGCAGCACAGACACTTTCTTGGTCTCACACAGTCTCTCACACATCCTTTGCTTGCTTGCAAAGTGACTGGAAATGTCGGATTTCCACAGCCACAGACCCGCAGACAGCTTTTCCTCTTCCTGAGGAGAAAGGTATGGTCGCCGGTTAAAGTAGGCTGTCAGGAAATCTTTCCTGGCCTCATATGTCTTGTGCTCATAGCTTCTCGGATCCAGAGCAAGGCCATCAGATTCAACCTGATTTCCAATGGTAGTGGTGGAAATCTTGGACTCCTTGCCAAGTTTTATCCTCTTGGGGTTGTATGTGCCCTGCGCTGGTGGCTGCCTCTTGAGGAAGCCAGCCCCCGAGGAGTTGAGAGTCAAGGCAGATTTAAAGCCTTGGCTTGCCTGGTTCCTACCAACAGCCCTGCACTGCACAAGATGCAGTGTTATTGTGGAGGCCACCATGTTACTGGTGTACACTCCTAAGCAATGAATACACTTGTATGTCATCTTTTTTTCAACAGGATGCATTGTTTGGAGCACTTGGTGTCGCTCCCTCAGATGCATAGACAAAGCATCAGAGATGGGACCTTTGAGGATGGTGAAACACAGCGGACACAGAGTCTTCCCCACCTCACTCTTGTGAGTCGTGGAAGGGAAATTTCTACTAAGTGGTTCACTTTTCTCAATCATTCTTGGAGCTGTTAGCTTGACCAGAGGTGGAACACTATTCTGAGCTGGTGCAGGCTGATCTTGACCATTGATAGATTCCTTCATGTTAAAAGTGAGAACAACCAGCTGAACATTACTGGACTTATCTTGTTTAATGGTGAGATCAAAGGTTAGCGGTGTTGCACCGGGAGGTCCGACAAAGTCATCAGGGTGAGCCTGAGCCACATGCTCTATGATTTTTTCAACATTGTGGAAAGCAGAGTGGCACTGTGGACAGGTGAGCCCATGGATTAGCATGTGGTTAAGCAGTGTGTCACTTGGAAGATAGCGGTTGCAAAGCAAACACTTGCTAGTGAAGTTGTGGATTTTCATGATGTACTTGGCCAGTGCCCACACTTTCTTGGCCTTGTGTGCACTCTCAAAATGAGCACTGTAGAGGTTTTCAGGAAAAAGCTCATTGCAAACTGTACATATCTTCCACTTCTGTGTCTGGGCTGTGTTTACACCAGTAGCATTATTTTCAGCCACAGTGCTGTTGCCAGCAACTGTGACACGTACCTGATTGGTTACGATGGGTGACTGACTTTTAATGACAGGGCCCGTTGGCTTTAAATAGCCAATCACTGGTTGTGCTGTTGCCTCCGCTCTAAGTGGGTGGCTCCTGCTAACGATCAGAGGGGCTTTCGGAGTCACGACTGGTAAGGTTTGAGACCTGGAGACAACAATATTAGCGTGGCCAATCATGGTGGTGACTTGAGCACCAATGCGCTCGTGGTACTCTATAACATGCTGTACTAGAGCCTCATAGCTACGAGTGGTAAACTGGCAGCGTTTACAGAGGATGTTGTTACCATTGACTGAATTAGCACCATTTTTGACAGATGATTCAGAAACCATACCAAGATATGGTGAGACAATATGTTGAAAATGTTCCCTGTAGATGTGCCTTCTCACAACATTGTAGAGTGTGTCCCGGAACGTGCATTTTTTGCAAAAGTACATTGCTCTCTCCACACCATCTCCCTGTCTGGCTCTATCAAAAAATGTTTTGTCCTTCTTTTGCAGCGCAGTTGCCTGTGAGCTCCCATAGTTATGACGTGCTGAACTGGGTAAGTGGAATATTTTAACATGCGTCTCCAAAGTTCTCTTGCTTGCAGTGAATGTGCAGTATGGACAGTTGAGCAGAATTTTACTCTCAAAGATTTTCCTGTGTACATTGCGGAAGTGATTCTTGTAGCCTGAGTAGTACTTGGAAGAAAATGGGCACTCTGTGCAGCAAAATGGCTTTGATCTGTATTCCTAAAGGACATCAGTGGAAAAAAATGGCTTTAAGATAAATATGGTGATATGTGCATAAACATTTGAAAACAGTTTCTACACAGAAATAAGATTTACCTGTGGTTTGGAGTATGATGGATCCCATGCGCAGATATCAAGGCAAAGACTGCCCTTTACAAATTGCTCATTAGGGCAAAACTCTTTGAACTCCTGTAGGATGAATTAAAAAGACAAATACATATTAAATTCAGTAAGTGTGTGTTTATGTACAAAGTGGCATGTTTGACAGTTCACAATACTTTGTAACTATCAGCCACACTGGCTTTTGACAAATCTTCCTGAGTGTTAAGTTACTATTTGTTTCACATTTGAGATAAAATAATTTCTAAACAGACTTTAAGACCCTCACAGAGATAAATAATAAAAAATAAAACACCTACTTACACATATAACTATATATATTTTCAAACATGAACGATAATAAGATGCTCCATTTTAAGTAATGTTTCTCAAATTAATTTAGAGATTCTGCAAGATAACAAATGCAGCTATACATACACTCACCTCAGCTGCCTCCTTACAGTACTCCAGGCCAATGTCCCCAAGTGCTTTTTTCACTTGTTTTCTAGCTCTCCTGATTCTTGTAAGGTTATTCACTGGGAGTTGATACATCTCTCCTGGCAAACAGAAAATTACTGATTAGTCTGAGGATGGCTTAATGTAAATTCGCCAATATGGTATTACAGAATGTAACACTATCGTTCAATCTCTACATCATGAGGGAGTGCCGTCATAAAACAGGTGACACGCCCTTTCAATACTTGTCTCCATTCAATAAATCACTGTCGGCATATTTACTTATGCGTTATCTACGTTCAGAGCCCCAGTTTCTTCAGGGGCCCAGTGCTGTTTCAGTGGACATGCTTAGCCTTCACTGGTTGAATGCTGGTTTGACCAGCAATATTAAATCAGAGAGCGGGTCTGTGACCTTTCCTGCGCCACCATGTCCAATCATTACGGGAATCGAGCTTTGCAGAACATGTTGTGGTTTGCTTTGTATGCTAGCGTTACTGTGTTAGCCTGGGTTAGCACTGTTTCCTGCACTTCTCGGCTTGGTCACCTACTTAGCATCAAAGCTAGCGATGCATAGCCAGGTGGCGTTATTTATTTCTCCATTTCACAGACGAAATCAATCGATGCGTTTTACTCACCTCGTGATGCGTCTTAAGGCTAGCTTCACACAGGGTTGCCTCGCTACATAAATGGCTAACAAAGAAGGACGTGCACTGATGGTGATGTTCGCTCTCCTCAAAGCCGGTGCTGATGCACAGCAGCTCCACGGCTAGCTAACGACGCTGGCTAGTTAGCAGTCACATCTGTTTTGCTGCAGCTGCTAGCTAGCTGTGGGGACAAAAGGCAGGGCAGAGTGGTGCACATCTCATGAAAACAGTAGACTCCAAAGGTGAAGACTGCCAGCACCACCCGGTGTCCTCTGAGTACTTCTTTTACTTGCACCGGTGGTCAGGCCAGCCTGCTAGCTAACGTTACCTATTCCTAGTGAGCCAACTCTCAATCCAAAATGGCGACGACAAAAAGACGGAAGTCGTAGCAGGGAGCAGAGCAGAGGATGGATGACCAAAACTTTGTATTCATTGTGGTCGTATTGTTACAATGCTTTATTTTCAATGACATACAAGCCAACATTATTGTTCAGGAATCCAGAGTCATTCAAACACAACCCTTTGCAGTTCACTTACTCTTGCTACAACCAAGATAAACGTTTTCACTGATTTGTTTCCCACAAATGAGCACATGAACTCTGCCTCTAAAGTCGACAACTAGAAAGAGACACTTCATAATGTCATATATCAGTTACGGCAGATGGAGTTGTGTATAAAACAAGAGGCAGGCTTATAGACAGTTGTCATTCCAGTGGTTCCATCATTTCCAGTACAACAGTGCGAGGGCCTGTCATGACCAGTCTGGTGATGGTCCTGTAGTCCAGGTAGAGAACACACTGGCCATTCACCTGGCACACAAACTGCTTCACCTAGAATATTATAACAGGTACATTGGTTATGTGTTTGTCCCATTTATAATTTTCTTTCTTGGTGCCAAATGTGTAACATACATCTAACCTTGACTCCAGCAGCTGCTGCAGGGCTTCCAGGGTCAACCGCCTGCACATAACAGGGAGCCATGCCTCTGACCACAAAGCCCCAGCCCAGGGCGTCTCCTAACACCTGGGATCAAGGTGAGAGGTGAGAGATTAATTAGAGTTTACACACACACAGGTGAGACACAATTTCATTAGTTCAGATTGAAAAATAATCTGTTCAAAATAATCTGAACTATGAAGGAGCCAAAATGTGTGCATGCTTTGTTTTAAGTGGGTAATAGATGAGAACGGTTTCATGATATCACAAAACCTGCGGGCAAAAACTCACCCTAGGTAAGTTCCATTTTAAAGAAGATGGCATTGCGGATAAGGCTTTAATTACCCCTTTGTGGTCTTCAGGGGGATGTTGTTCAGGTTATACTGAATTAATGCAATAAAATCCTAAAAAATTACATAAATGTAAAATCATATATAGCCCATCTTAACTCACCGTCAACACTCTCTTGATGAAGGGTGCACCAGGTGCCAATAATTCTTCACATGTGAAATTTCGTGTAAGGACTGTAAAATCATGAAAATATTTAGTTTCTATGCTTTTACAAGAAAGCCATAACATTCTAAATGCTAGAACTTTTTTTGACATTTTCAGACATTTGTCAGATGAATATTAGTTACACACTTGCCTGATTTAGGATTGCATCTCACCGCTGAGGTTGAAGACAGATGGCCAAGAGGTAGAAATCCAGCAGAGTTGATCTGAAGGGAATTTAAGCTGCCTCGACGCCCACTTGTAACCTGTTTCACGTCTTTACTCAATGCCACTAGAACGAAATTAGTAGTGAGTTTATTGTGCAATAGTTGGCATTCACAACAAAGTGTATAAAGTGTAAAGAGGGCAGATAACTTTTTTTTGTTTACCGGATTGGAAAGCACTGTTGCCTTCCTGGGGTGGGTTTTTGCGCACAACAAATGGACTGTCAGAATGGTTGTCCTCTTGTATCGGCACTGCCACACCTTCAGCAGTGTCTTGCTCACTTTCATGTAACAGTTCAGACAGGCGGCGTCGACGGCGAAAATTTATGCAGAACTGATAGAGTAGTCCACTGTCAAAAAAATCATGCTTCTTTGCCACTAGTGGTGGGACAGAGAGAGAAAAAAGCAACAATGGAACAAGTTTGAGAGTTAATGGGATTTTTCGTAAAGAGCTGATAAGTGTCTGCTTTAGATTGCAGGTCCCAGTTTGCCACCCAACGATAGCAACCACTGTCGGCCTGCTCGTTTTTAGTATCATGCATCAAAGTTCAAATGAGGGCTCTCCTCACCGTGCTGAATGATGCCATGCTCCTGCAATGCACGGCACAGCTCTAGTCCCCGACGCCGGCTCTCTGCCTCTCCGTTCTGAAGGAGCCAGTCAATCAACTGGCAGCCAGGAAAGGAGCGCTGATATGCAACACCATGCTCCTCTCTCAACTGCAGAATGGAGTTCTTGTCCCCAATGAGGCTGAAGAAACAGACGCAAAACCACAGATCAGGTTTATTCATAACATGCAAATTACTTCAAATCTGGAAGGCTCATTTAAACAGAACAAAGTTGCCAAGATACAGCATACCTGACGAGAGATTTTAACCAGACCCTATTTATCATACTGATATGTATATGATCCTTAGTATGATTGACACTATACTGCTGATCCTGCTGAACCAAGAGACTTGCAGCACAAACACAACAACTCTTACTGTTCATACAGCCGTTGTCCTCGCATGAAGATTTTCACCTCTGTATTGAAGGGAAATGTGCCATCATCTTTGCGGAAACGGTACAGCAGTTTGGCATCCTTGAATACAGGCCTCTTATCACAGACTAAGAGAAGACAGCATTTAGTTCCAAATCAGACTTGAAATTAGTGAGTGTCTAACAAAAGGTCTTGGCTTGCCTAGATGCTTCCCTCTTACCGTGATGAATGATGTCATGATCCATGAGGTGCTGCATGAGACAGACAGCTGTCGCTCGATCTGGAGCTACCTTATGGCTCACAAGCCAGTCTATAAGCTCCTGTGCTACGAAACAGTTGGGATACGTGCGCAAGTGGTAGCGTCGGTCCTTAATCAGTTTCCCATCGTGAAGTCTCAGCCTTCAAATGAAGTTTGAAATGAACCATAATCCTAACTTGAAGTTTAACATTAGCCACATATCTTGACATAAATCTAGAATCTTATAAGTAGTTTTTTTAATATATTTGAATTGGTTATATTTTCAGTCTGACTGCCCATACCTGAGTTGTTCTCCAGCGATCATAACTTCAGCCTTACGTTGTCTAGCCATGGCTTTTCTCCCAGTGCTACTTGTTCGCTCCATGTTTGTTATCTCAGGACGAGAAAGTAAGTGAAGCTCACTTTTAGTTTTGATCCTTTGTGTTTACAAAATAGCCTCTGAAGCACACAGAACCTCATTGCCATGTGGGATAGATGTTGTGTATACAGAGAGAAGGATAAGGTGCATTTCTGTCAGGATTCCACAGTGAGAAGTAATCTGAAGACTGTCCATTGACAGTGTTGAGGGTTTTGTCCTTTTTCTATTTATTGTTGGCTGTCGCTGACAGACGCCATATTTGACTCTCCCTCACTGTAGACTAGTGCACAGAAAGTAGCACTTCAGAAGCATTTTGCAATCATTTTCTAAAAATTCAAAAACAGGCAAAACATAGGATTATCTGTGGTGTCAATGGATGTTACAGCTTCCACTGTAAGCCTGTTAGCTTTGGATGAATCTGAATGACGTCACATCAATTGTAACCCAAAAAAACAAAAATTGAAATTGGCAACAGAAAAACCAGAGAGACATGACAGTGACAGTACTAGTTCTGGGGTGTTTATGCTCAGAGTCAGTGTTGTAACCAATGACACAGGTCATGGAAGTGTGCTTTGTGGATACAAAAATGGACTGCCGCCCTAAATTCAACCTCTAAGGCAGCCCTCCCTGTCAGGCTGCCTCTAAATCTTGTTTGCTTCAATAGGATTGGCAAATCTACACCCGAAGTATAACTCCATCCTTAAAGGACAAATCTGCTGATATTCTGTATTTTTGTTATGGTCAGTAAATCCCACAAACAGACTAAAAACAACAATTAATCATATTCATATTCAATAATTTATCCTACTAACAAGTATTGTGTGCTTAGCCAAAACCGGAAATAATTTCCTCTACTATTGAGAGTTTGCTATCAAGTATATATTTGTGACAATTTTTAAAAACGTGGAACCAATTGGACTTTGGGCTCAAAGCTACAGACAGGCTGGGGAACTATGGAAGTATGAGAGAAAGACTAATGCGTTGTTGCTTTTTGTCTTTTCATGGTATTTGCTGACAATAACAAGAATTTGCCGTTAACTTGAATCACCTGGTACACAGCTTTAAACTAATATACTATGTTATCATGAGATCTTATTGAGATATTACAGCTCTGAATAATTTTTGTTTAGGAGGTGTGACTGTATGCACATGCGTGTTGTGAAAGAATATGATCTGACAGTCGGCTGGTGATGTGCACTCAGACTGTTAGCATCCTATCATTAGCATACATGTAAGTTATACCACATACTGTGGCATTGCCTTGCTGTCATAAATCCTAACATGTGTCCCTGAGCCATCCTCGCTCAGTCACACTGTCTCCTCTTTTCCGCTCTTCCCAGCAGCAAAAACTGCCCAAAACAGTTCCCTGTCGTTCTCGGGCAGCAATTTCTATTGGTTTTGGCTCGAGTCCTCAGTCTTGTCAGTGAAGCTGTCACTATCTTTGGAGTAAGCACTGCCTGAGAGGGCAACCTCAGGGCAGGAACATTGGTTAACCCTTTGATATCCTGTGCAGTTGTGTCAGAGGTGTTGCTGAGCTTCTTTGATAAAACCTTCAGCCACTTCTCTGGCTGTTGGGTCTTCTGTGAAATCAGCGGGTGTCTAAAAGCTCTCCTCAGATGTTTGAGCCCTTTGTGCACATGTTCCACACAGTCTGTGCACAGTTCAACTAATATTCATAGAGTTGTATCTGCAACAGCAATACATTTTCAGAACATGGAAGGAGCTTGAAGGTCCTGTGATATGATGGTACGACTTATAGTGAACACTCAATTTGTTAGTTTAGATATGAAATATGAGCCTCAGTTCACTGACTACAGAAATACAATTTCTCCCTCTTGTGCTCACGCTGGCCTGAGATGGTTCAGGGTTCAGAGATACTTTTGGATACAAGATATTAAGGCTCCGGTAGTGTAGAGTATTGGCCACAAGATGTCAGTATTTAGCTGTGAACTAACTGAGGAACACACACAACCATGATAGTGGCAAATGAATTGTCTTGCAGCCTCCTCTCTGTTGTTTACATGAAATCATGCAGTCGTGGCAACATATCAGTCAACACGAAATAAATAAACCAAATTCAGATAGAAAGAATAATTCAAATTGTAGTTAAGTTGTATTGCTATAGGTTTGTAGACTAAAGTAATACCGTACGTTTATTGAATCTGCCTAAAAATGACAATCGAAGTAGCCTACTGCCTCGATAAGTGTGGGTATGTAAGTATCTACTGGACCTTATCTGCACTGTGCGAAACTGAAAAATCACTGCACGCTGAATAGGCTACAATGGAAAATGGAAAACAAGTCAGATAAGAAAAAAATATATTACAGAAGAGAATATATGCCGCTGTGCATTTATAGGTTTTGGTCAGATGATCCTCACGAACAGCTCGTGGGACAAACTCGTAGCAGCTTTTATGCAAATTGTCCTCCTCAGCGTGTTTTCATTGGAGAGGAGCGTGGAGGTGTAGTCTGGAAGGCGTGACATCATGCCAATGCAGCTTTATGAAGAAAGTGCGCTTCTCCTGAACAGACAGAGGTGCGTCCAGTCCTCTGGCACACAGTCAGTGGACTTTTAGTTTGTGGCTTCAGAGAGCAAACAGGCTGCGCGGTGCAGAATCCCCACTCGGTGCAGAGTTTGACAGGCTGGAAGCCTTTTACGCACGCAGTGTTTTTCCTCCTGAGCTGAAATCAAAGTTTGGAAATACTCTCTTTTTGAAAGTGAGTGCGCTTTCACTGGCTGCATGAAATAGCGGTGGACATCTGGAGCTATTTGAAGAGACTATTTTGCCATTTAATAGGCTATGACCGCCGAGGCGCATTCACATTTGGGACTGCAGAAAACCCCAATGGATTTCGTCAGCGACTTTGACTTAATGAAGTTCGGTGTCAAGAAGGAGGCGATGCAGGGAATAGACCGCTCCTTCATCGGGCCGTGCAGCCAGCTCCAGAGACCAGACTCGGTCTCTTCCACCCCTGGCAGCACACCTTGCAACTCGGTACCCTCATCACCAAACCTCAATCCAAATGAGCAGAGAAATAACCCCGGAGGAGACCAGTTCTGGATACCCAACAACGGGGGTTACCCTCAGCAAATGTACCCTCAAGCGTTTGGCCTGACACCCGAGGACGCAGTTGAGGCCCTCATCAGCGCCACGGCGCAGCAGGGACACCCATCTGCGCCCCACGGCCACCATCCGCCACCTTTCCAAGCTGAATACGAAGGGTACGGCCACCTGAACGAGCCTGTCCAGCATTACCCGGGACTGCCGGGTCACCCCGACATGCAAGGCATACCCAGCAGTCACTGCCAAGACCCCTATCTCAAAGATGACATGGGGAGTGAGTCCCCCGAGTCGCCGGAGGCCCAGCAGGTTCTCGGTGCGCACCATCATCTCCAGCAGCAGCACAGCCGCCACGACAGGCGATCCAACGCCGACATGCACTTCTCAGACGACCAGCTGGTGTCCATGTCCGTCAGAGAGCTCAACCGGCTTCTCAGAGGCCTCAGCAAGGACGAGGTGATGCGTCTGAAGCAGAAGCGCCGGACCCTGAAAAACAGAGGTTACGCTCAGTCCTGCCGCTACAAGCGCGTCCAGCAAAAACACATTTTGGAGCACGAAAAGACGAGCCTGGTGTCACAAGTGGAGCAGCTCAAACATGAACTCAACAGACTGATCCGGGAGAGGGATGCATACAAACTTAAATGTGAGAAACTGTCCGGTGCTAACTGCTATCACGAAACTGGGTCTACTAGTGACAACCCTTCCTCACCCGAGTATTTAATGTGAGTTTGTTAAATTCCTGCAGAACTGATTCTTCTCCATAGAGAGCCATTTATATTGACAGCTCGCCTTGCTCCTTAACAAACAATCCCGTGGATTCATCAAGTTTTAATTAATGTTGGACATGAGGATATGGCTGAAACAATTGTAATAGATTCAACAAGGCAACAAGTTATGAATGGAAAATTACTATGAAGCATGCATGCAGGACATGTATGAGATGTTTTTATTTTATACAGGCATTATACTTGAAATCAGAGAATATTCCCTTTTATTAATAGGCTACACAATCCTTCTGCATCAGTTACTGCTCAATTTTTATTTTGATGATTTTGCTTTGCTTAGTTTTTGTAGCTCAAATTATATTTTATGTTCAGCTTCCTTAAAATAGAAAACCTACTGAAAAGATTGATGCTACAAATGACGTTCATATTTTTATGAAACTGATTCTGCTGGACAGATGTGTTCCTTATTTGCTTTTCTTTTAAATATAATATACAATTATACAAATTGTTTTTCATCTACTATGTTTTTCATTCACTATGGATCAATAAAACTATTGTGACTTTTTAAAATTGTGTCTCATCTGCTGACAAATCACTATCCCTTAAAAAAAAAAAAACGGTCATTTTTGCCTCGCATGCACAATTTTCTTTGCAGTTTCCATCATGGCAGTGTAGATTTGTTATACATCTCAGACCTATTCCAACATTTTTTATAACCAGTTTCACACAATTAAAAAAAAAACTGCTGAATCCATTTAATCAGATACATAAAACATAATGTTTGAGCACACTACATAAATTAGGTTATTGAAGTATGTCAGTTGGTACATATAATACATAAATGAGGAAATACATTTGCAGACTACAAGACTACAATCATAAACCACTATAAATCTCAATTCTAAAATTATATTACGACACTGTAAAATGTGAAAAGAGTCACAGCAGTCACAGTGTTAGTTTCAAGAAGTAACATCTCGTCATTATGAAGTATGTCACTGGACAGCCAAAAGAACAAGAACAGTAACAATCACAGTGTATTTTTTAGTTGAATCAAAGGACGCAAGGCTTTCTCTCCTTCTCTGACCTTTGCCCTTCATGGAGTGCTGCTTCCTGTGGGACCCCGGCATGTGAAAGCACAGGGGGCTGACTGGCAGGGGCTGTGGGGCGCAGATAAAATGGAGTGGAAATCAGGCTTCCCCTCTGCTCTCTTCCTCAGACAAACAGATCACCTCTGCATTCATTAACAGAGGAAGAGAGAAACAACAACCATGGCACACTGCTCGCCGCTCCTCTGGCCGCCTGCACAGGAATATTTTCACTTGATATGTTTTTTTTGGGGTTTTTTGTGTGTGTTTTTTTTTTTTTTTTTTTTTTTTAAATCCTCAAGCAAATTTCCTCAACACAGATCATTCTCAGTTCAGGACTACAATAATATTTTGATGACTGTAATAGTTCCAAGGCCACTGTGATAATGTGTGATAAGTGGTCACATTGTACATTGAGTTTATAACCTCCGTGATGGCCTGTGCGCAGAACGTCTCAGTGAGTTCTCCACTGTCAGGAGAGACTTTCTCACTGTTCCCCCTTTGCGAGAGTTCAGCTTGGCAGGTGGCGCGGTTAATGGCACCACCCTTTAGCCTGGAAACCAGGTTCTCTTTTCAAGTGTGACCCCTGACAGTTTTGACCTCACCCTCTGTTGAGGAAAAGCAGCTCTAAAATCACACCACAGGTGCAAAAGCACTTTCCTTCTCAAAACAGGACTAATCCCTGAAGGTCGGCCGGCTACACTGGGAGTGTGTGACGTAGATGACTGCGTTTCTGTAGCAGAAAATAACCAGATGGTTATGGCAAAGACTAATTCTCTTCCATATTTTAATGTTAATGGGAAGGTATCATTAATAAGTTCCTCTTATATATGGCATAAGACTATATTTACAGGCAGGTTTAATTTTGAAATGAGGTTTCCTCTATTTTAAAAGTGTTCTCATTTATACATATATAAATATATATTCTTTAACAGTAAACCTACTCAGATTACAGCTGTCCAAAAGGTAAAATTCACACAATTTTTATTGAAAACAAAAATATGTTTTAAATTAGTTTAGTTACATTATTTCTTCATTAACTTTTTGTCACAAATCAGTATCATTTTACATGTCATGATGTCATTTGTAAATGACATAATCAGTTGAAACATTATTAAAAAAAACTGCATGCTTAACATCACCAAAAAATGTCCAGAATTAAATAATATTTTACACTGAACTACCTTAAGTCTAAGTGTATATTTGCAGATACTATACTAGAGAAAAGGTATGCATGTATATGTACACTTGTATGTATTTGCATTGTATATACTGATGTGCTTTAGTTGTGCGGTTTTTCAAACAGTGCATTTCTTTGTTTGGTGTCATATGTTTGCGCACTTGAATACATCATATGTGGATTTCTAAGCAACGGCGGAATAATACAGTGGAAGTGTTGGCGAGGAGAGTGGTTTGTGGTACTGTGTGACAGTGTGCAGGGTGCCATTGTAGAAACGATTAGCCAGCTCTTTTCCCTTGCATGTGATAGGCTGCTGGGCCTGATGTGGGAGCCTCACAGCCCCCCTCCCCCCCTCACTTCTCCTCCTCCTCCTCCCCGCCACCAACACCCCAAGCCCACAACGCCTGAGGCTGGCTACTGAGTCAGCAGGAGGGAAAGGTGTCTGCACGGCTGTAGCATCAGAACAAGAGAGAAAGCAAAATAGCTGGAGAAGGATAAAGAGCTGTGAAAATGGTTCAGAAAAGACTTGCTTGCGTTTTTTAACAGATGGAGAGAGGGAACGACTGCAAAAAAAAAGTCAGAAGGAGATGATGAAGCAGGTTAAAAAGAAAGTATCATCCACTAAATTATTTTAAAATCTCCTTTGCAGATGCTTTTTTCTTTCACAGTGACTAATAAGACAAAATGTACTCGGTAAATGTATCTATAACACACTTTTACACAATGAATAACACTTATGAATGAGTGGTCGTTCAGTGAAAACACTCAAACAAATCAGTGGAACATGGTGCCAACCTCTTGGCCGAGTCGTGGGCTTTGCCAAGGCCTGGCTGCGTCTCAGACAGCGGACACAGACAGAGGAATGCTGCAGACACTCACCATTGTGTGGGGAGAGGCAGAGGAATGCAGGCTGCCAGGCTACGTACACTGACACCAATGAACACAGCCAGAGGCCTCGAGCCATGAGGGAAGGCCGGGCCACAGTCAAACATCGCTCACCACTTCCATCTGTGATATCATACCCATCTCCCCTGGACTGCATTGGTTTGGTCCGGCTCGGCTGTCTAAACACTGAGTATCTTGTTGAAGAGTTCCTGACTGACTGTTAGAGATTAGCTACAAACAGGCCTGCCAAATAAGAATCAGTTGATCAGCTGAGTAAATATTCTTTTGTTTCAGACAAACCCCTTTTGATCAATCAGTGAATTTTTCATTCAAATTAATGATTGTCACTAATCTTCTGTGGCTAAATGTCAACTGACCAGACATTTGACCCCCAATAACAAGCCTTTTCCAGCCCCAGCCAGTTCTTTCACTGTTGTTTTGCAACAGTTAAGTGTCTCATACTGTGTGATAGTCTGTAAGAGTGGCTTCACGTGAAGCGCAGAGCAGAGATTGGGATGGACGGCAGGATGGACGACGGGCTTCCTCTTTCACTTCCTATATGAGGGTCCAGTCAAGTGACTCTTTGTGAGAGTGTTTGGTTGTATGTCGCAGGAAAGCACAGCTTCGATGGCTGTGGTTTCCGCTCAGGATGTCCAGTCCTTTCTGCGTGCAGTTGTGACACTGTGAATCATGCAGTGATCACACACGCACACAGACGTCTCCATGGACATGGCATACATACACACTCGCAGACATGCTTATGCAAATACATTCATGCGTATGTGCACTTTCTAGTTCTCTGCCGCATATTTTTCATAAAACCATGTGATTGTGACAACTAACTTTTTTGTGATCAATGTATCTTTCTCTTCTCTGATCACCTTTCTTGATCACCTCCTATGAAGATATTTCTTTCCATGTTGCCACACTCTGAAAGATTCCATGGTAATTATGATTGTACTACTGGTAATGACTCAAGTTATCACATGATTGTCTCTGCAGGATCCAACAGAGTGGATTAATGTGTAGCCTTAGAACCACAATAAAGCTTGTCCTGCTATCTTATTGGCTGCAATAAGGAATCTGGCTTCCTGGGGACGTTGTGTTCAGCGTGTTTGTGCATGAACTCCTGGGGATCTGATAGGATGGGACTCTGATAAAGTGCTTGTCACGTTTCAGTGGACACCACTGAGACAAGTGTGACAAAGTCCTGTTACATTGCAGACCCTGGACTTTGGTTACAGAGCAAAGGGTGAACCACTGTATGTAATAATTATACAGGTTGGTCCCAGTATGACAGAAACATAAAACAGCTTAAGGTGAAAAGTAGAGGGGTATTACTGCCACATACAGCAAGGTAAATGAACTGTTCAGCTGATGTGAAAGTGACTAATCATTTAGACACAGACATTTCAGTCACCAAACACTCAACACCTTGACTTTATTTCCAACAAAGGATACTGCAGATTTACAGCATAAATAACATGCCAAAGAGTGATGGGAGGATTATAAGAGAAGAAAAGAGAAGACAAAGAAAGAGACGAGAAGAGAAGAGAAGAGACAGAGAAAGAGAAGAGACGAGAAGAGAAGAGAAGAGAAGAGAAGAGAAGAGATCTCTTTCCCTTTCATTCCCTGCTAGGATTTCCTGTCCTGTTTTATGGGGGTCATGCAGCTGGCAGGCGCCCTCCTGTTTCTGTCCATAATGATGACAGGCATCCATTAGTGCACAGTAGAAACACGAGACACAGAGGTTAACTCAGCCCCCCACCCCACCACCCCCCACCCTACCCTCTTCCCTTTCAACAGCCCCTGGACCCCAGTATACAACCCACCTATCTATAGGGCAGATAATTGTGGCTCTTAGTTGCTGTTGGCAAAGCTTTGCTGATTAAGGGTCAGCTCCTGCTCAGACAACAGCATGTACACCCTGACGGGTTTAACACAACCTGGAAAGCAGGTCCAGCCCGCGGGGACCATATTGTGTCTCTGGTATATAACATACTCGCATCCGGGAAAAGTCATGGTGGGACTCTGGTTTTTGGGAAGAGTGCTGCAGATGAGAAA